AGGCACGAGCCTATGCCAGGCAGTCAGACTTGAGTTTGAGGCAACCAACAACGAAGCAGAGTACGAGGCATTACTAGCTGGACTGAGGCTCGCCAAAAAGCTAAAAGTCAAGAGCCTGAGCGCTTTCAGCGACTCACAGCTGATTGTAAGGCAAGTGACTGGGGAGTATAGCACCAAGGACAGCACAACGGAGGCCTACTGTTCTGCTGTAGAACGAGAGACAAAAGGGTTCGACCTGGTAAAGTTCACACAGCTGCCTAGAGAGGAGAATGGCGATACTGATCGGCTAGCTTGCAGTGTGTCCAGCTCAGGAGATACATTGATAAGAGTAGTATTTGTTAATGTGTTGTACCAACCGTCAATCTTTGAGGGGCCACTCGGCCTCAAACACCTGCAGGTATGCGTAATACCTTACGAGCCTAGCTAGATTAACCCGATCATATCTTACATAAGAGATGGTGTGTTGCCTGGACAAAAGGATGAAGCAAGAAGAATCCGGGCGAATGCTGCAAAGTATGAAAATTTTCACAACTAGCTCTACCGAAGGTCTTTTTCAAGCCCCTACTTGAAATGTGTAACCCCATTAGAGGCAAGGCAAGTCCTACGCACCATTCATGAGGGAGTGTGTGGCAATCATACCGGGGGCAAATCTCTGGCGCATAAGGCAATGACCTAAGGTTACTTTTGGTCACACATGTCACGGGATGCAGAAGACTACTCTAGGAGGTGCGATAAGTGCCAGGTATGGACCACTGATACACCAACCACTTGAGGATTTGCACGTAATAACCAACCCATGGCCTTTCGCACAATGGGGGATGGATGTGGTTGGTCCTTTACCAAAGCAAGGTCACAAAACCAATAAATTCTACTTGCAACAGACTATTTTACCAAGTGAGTAAAAACAGAACCATATCCCAGCGTGACGCACATATAAGTGAGGCGCTTCATATGGAACAACATAATTTGCAGATTTGGGGTCCCAAGGTCGATCGTTATGGACAACGGCACCAACTTGGATAACCAACACGTGAGGAGCCTATTGAATGAACATGGGATCAATCAGAAGCTTGCCACTGTTAGCCATCCGTAAGGGAACGGTCAGGCTAAGATCACAAACAAGACAATCAGGCTTGCCTCATACCAACAGATGCTCGTCAATAGTCACAATAAAAGGGTGAGGCATAGGGACTTTACTCCCGGAGAGCTAGTGTTGAGAGGTGGGCATCACCCCTAAGATAATGCCACCATGGGAAGGACCCTATAGAGTCGCAGAAGTCATAGGGAAGGGGGCATACATGCTGGAGACATTAGCCGGAAGGCAGATTGCCAAGCCATAGAATGCAACATATCTGAAGAGGTACTATCACTAAAATGAAACTGTCATTTAAGTTTCCATTTGAATTATCTTTCCTTTCAAAAGTATGTCTATGCGAATGTAAGACGATTGAGCAACAAGAAATTTATAAAGAGAAGAGTTTTTTAGAGAAAGAAAAACTTGAACATGGCAGAACTAAGTCAATGGCAAATGGCACTATGAGCCGAACACCAAGCACTTGTATAAATTTATATTAATTTAGTGGCAAGTGGCATTCTAGCCGACTGCCAAGAAATTGACCAAGTCAGTGGTAAATGGCACTATGAGCCGAACGCCAAGCACTTGTACAAATTCATATAATTCAGTGGCAAGTGGCATTCTAGCCGACTGCCAAGAAATTGACCAAGTCAGTGGCAAATGGCACTATGAGCCGAGCACCAAGCACTTGTACAAATTCATATAAGTCAGTGGCAAATGGCACTATGAGCCGAACGCCAAGCACTTATACAAAATTCATATAAGTCAGTGGCAAATGGCATTCTAGCCGAACGCCAAGCACTTATGCAAATTCATTCAAGTCAGTGGCAATATGAGTCGAATGCCAAGCACTTGTTAAATCCATTTAAGTCCGTGACAAATGGTAATAAGAGCCGATTGCCAAACACTAGTTAAAATTTGCAAATAAGAGAGAGAACAAAACGGAATCCAAAAAGTTTTTTCATTGATAAAAATTCCGAAGATTACATTAGCAGGCGTTTTTAGCCTTACAAAAATCAAATTCCAAAAATAAAAACAGTTAACCCCTAAACAGTCCTTTCATCCTCCCGGGCGGATCCTACGTCATCCCGAGCATCCTCCACCACCTTATCCCCTCGAGAAGGACAATCAAGATCAACCACATTTTCAGGTGTCTGAGCCTGGCTGTCAGAAGCATGACCGGGTGGAGTTCCATTTCCAGGATGTGGCAGAAGGAGCGGTGTTCAGAAGCTAAACGGTAAGAACGGGAAGGATGACCCCAAAAGTAACAATCTCTTTGCACTCCCGGAAAACGAGCTCGACCTGATCAGGAGCTGGATCGGTATAATAGCCGAGCGGGTTGATCTCGAGATCACGATCGCAGTCGTCCGGGTCATCATAAGACCTCCTCTAGCCCTCAGGAGGGGAACAGTCTGTGAATCCATCCCTGTAACCTTGAGCATACCAGAGGGCTGCTACACGGGAGAAACGGCCATAAAGAGATTTAACCCCACCTTTGACCCTGCTCATAACACCAAGGAGGGTCGCACAGTCATCTAAAGATTTCTTCTCCAAGGCAGACCGAGTAGCCCGCTCGTTCTCCAGAGCGACCTGTAAGTCGTCCCTCTCCTTTTCAAGTGCAAAGACCTTGATCTCTGTCTGCTTCTGTTTTGCATTTGCCTTCTTCAGGTCATGGGACACTATTTTGTACCCGTTGGAGAGGGTGTGCACCTTCTGATCGGCTATCTCAAGAGACCTCTGCATGATAACCATCCCGAATAGGGTCTGTATACAAACAAGAGAGATCTATCATGTCTAGTGTAAGCAAAGCAGTGTTAGAGCGATTGGAAAACGAAAATAAGTATTAAATAACAAGTTACGTCCATGGCAGAAATAGGGAATCGGGTGAACATGCCCTTATGGGACATCTCCCTCTGCACCTTCACATCCTGGGGAGACCACAGGTCCGAGTAATAAGCCAGGGCGATCGAACCATGCTTGAACATGGTGTTGCTGGGTTCAACCATCAACCCATCCGCCCTGACAAACTTGGGAGCCCATGGAATCGCTGTCAGAGGGTCAGATGTTCCCTCTACTCCTCCAGTCGTTCCGGTCGGAGCAGGCACCTCAATCTGAGCATTGGGAACGGCTGTCTGAGAAACCCTTATCCTCTGAGACAGAGTAGCATCATCTTCAATTTCACTGCCCCTTTTCGAGGCAGGTCTTTTCCCGGCCGCCCTCTCTTGGACGGACTCCCGAATGGGTGTAGGGTTCCCAGAGCCCGAACCAGTGGCAGGGTTGGTCCTTGGAGGAGGATCCCTTTTCCTTTCGAACGAGGGGATTTGTAGTTCATCCATGCAGAGCCTCAAGAAAGAGATATTGCTAAGTGTCGCCGAGGTAAGTAACCCGGATGATGAGGGGATGCTATTCCACACCTTCTCCTCCAAAGTACGGAGCCTAGCCTTGCACACGTTGTAACCCAAGTTGTCATATGGGATTTTCAGGGAGTGGCAAAGGAAAGAGCAATAACGTGGGAGACAAACTTTACATATACACTCGCTTTTATGCTTCTTATACTTAGTATACAGGGAGACTGAGCACTCGCCAAAGGCAGTCGGGATGGGGAAGTTTTTGGAGGCAGAATCTTGCCAGGCCCTCTAACCCCTATATGAGGCCTTTCTTCCAACCGTCTCCAAAAGAATTTTGCACATAAACTTTTTCTCAACTAATGTTGGGCCTACATGCTACGCAAATACACCAAAAGAATTTTGCACAACATCCCTTTTCAAGTTTACCCCTATAATCCTACTACCAGTCAGTCTCACAAGAAAGCAAACAAAGGTGTTAACCAAGGAAGAACTGCCCAGTCAACTTGGTTTGTAATCAAGTTTCAATTATAGTGATCCATAAGATTTTCACCAAGAACCAGTGAAAATAGCTATACTATATAGAGTAAAAGAGGAGGATCTAGAATGCCTTTTAAAAAATCCTGAACACAATGCTTGAACCTTTTAAAAAATCTTGAACACAATGCATGAATTATACTTTAAATAACTGTTCATACATCAGAATTGACGAAAAAAATTGTCAAAGTATAAAAATAGTTGTAAAACCTCATCACTTCCACTTTTGCAGTTATTACATACCAAGTGGACCCATGCACCTTCGAATTTATTAATAACTTTAAAATCCTGATACCTAAGGAAGGATATCTTGTACGACAGGCTTGCAACATTAAGATCAAGAACTAGAGGCAGACCTAACAATAGGGTGAAATATGATCAGGAGATTCAGGACTGCTCACAAGCACCCTCAGACTCTGCACATTTTGAAGCTCCTTCAAGCTTGTTTGTGAGCTCATTGAGCCAAGCTCGGCTACAAGGCTTAGTTATTTAAAAAAGCCAAGCATGATCTTTTGCCTGCTTGGCTTGGTAGGCCGAGACACTGAGTCATAGAAGTGGTGAAAGGATTTTGGGATATGCTCATGTGCAGCTCAGACTTCTCGTTTTGCAGCTGCTTCAAGCTATTCTGTTAGCTAATTGAGCCACGCTAGCTTTTATAAAATACCAGGCTTGATCTTTCTCCCGCTTGGCTTGGTAGGCTGAGTTATAATAGTGATCAAAAGGTCTTTGGGATGACACTCCAACCCAGTTAGAGAAAGAGAAAAATTAATAATTTTCACTAACAGCATCAGCTATGCTCCATTTGACTGCCAAAAAGCCATTAAGAAGACGATAAAATAATATGGAATCTGTGACAGCCCTCCAAACTTAACCTATCATAACAACTTAACCTATCATAACATTTCAAGGCCTGGCTTTTTCCCCAACATCTTGCCTATGATTAAAGGGCATTAAACAAAACAACAAAAATAAAAATAAGTAAAAGCATTAAAACATGTAAAAGTATGTTTGGGGGGAGGAGGGGAGAGAAGAAGCTTACTTACCAGTTCTTTAGCTGGGAAGTTGAAATCTCAGGACCCTGGAAAAGAATTAATAACTTTTATGGATGAAACACATCTGATCTAATTGTCATTAAAATGATAACAAAATTAAATTTTGGAAACTAATTAAAAGGTGCATTTACATACATTAACACTCAATTTATCAGACCATGATTGTATCAGAGCTGCATTACGCTGCATGTCAGGTTCGTCCACGAGTGCCCTCTCGATTAAGGTAATTTGTTCAGCAGTCATTAAACTCCGCTTCCTTTTTCTTTGCTGCTTCTCTTCACATTGAATATTTTCAACCTTTTCCTCCTCTTGAACTCCTCCGAACCCACTTTCTTTGATGTGCGCACTTGACTTTGCAAACTCGACATTGTCCATTGGATCAATAAAATTCTTTTCTCGTGTAGTGCTTGAATCCGACGCACTTGTTTCACCATTCTGAACATCTCTGTCAATCTCTCTCACCCCTCTAGCAGCACCCCTTCCCAAATCACCTTCATTGTCCCTCTTATCTTGCCTCCCTATATCATCAGATTGATCTATAGAGTTGCTCCTGATATAGAACTGGTCCACTTCTTGGAAAGCTGAATTTTCTGACATGCCCTCTTTCAGGTTACTGATTCTGTTAGTAAGATCTGGAGCTACTTTTCGTATCAGAGGTGATGAGCATCCACCTGTACTTTGAACCTCCTAAAGCGAATCAAATTTTATTCCTTAGAATACTATATCAAACCCCCCCCCCCCCCCCCCCCCCCAAAAATAAAAAATAATAATAATAATAATAATAAAGCAAAAAAACACGCTACTACAAAACAGAATATGACTAGATTCCTAAAATGGACTTTCACGTGTCATTTCATCCCAATTCATGTAAGAGATGTTAACAATGGTTTGATGTTTTAATTAATATCTATTGGTTCTAAATGTGACTGAATTATAAAAACAAAAAAGTAATTAAAAAAAACTTAAATCTTACCAAGATTTGAAGTTTATAACCTTTAATAAAGTCACGAATCATGAATTTCACAACCTTCAGTCAGCATTAAATAAACACGGTTGACCAAAATTATACTGAAGTTCAGCTAGCTAATGTGACCATCAACCGTGAGTAAACTGAGATAAACTACCAGTCACCCAATATTGTTTGCTAATACTTGGTTTTTTTAATAACTTATTAACATATATTGACCCCTCAAATTTTGCTTTCTTAAATTTCCCCAGGAAGCATACTTTGATCATTTCTTTTTGGCAGTAAGACACAAAAAACCCACAATTGTCCCTTATAGGGACTTGAACACTCAACTTTCCACTTGGAAAGTAACGGAGATACCACTAGAGCAAAGACTTGGTAGTATATTTTAATCACATTGAGTGGCACAAAATGACAATTTACCATAACTATTAATAAGAAAAAATGAAAATATTCCACAGGAAAGGAAAGAGTAATCAAAATGAGGGAAAAGATAACAATAGATAGAGGATGAAAGATTTTACTTGAACTCGATTAACTTCATATTCAGCAGGAGTCATTAGTGATTCTAATTGCCTAAAGAAAACCCTGCAATAGAAATTTGAAGGGAGAAGTTTCAATTTTGTTTTTTTTAAATTCCTGAAAGTAGCAAATTGAGCTGCAGCACTAAACAAGTCAAGTGAAGACTGAAGACATGTGCATTGATAAGCAAAGTACAAAATGGATAAATGTGAACATAAATACATAATATTTTGATTGTACATACAGTGAATAAACAATATAAGTTAGGACGACCAACTATTTGTAAACAATGTACATCTACAACTTGGAAGTGAGTCAGCAAATTATTGCCATTAAAGCATATATATCATTGAGTGGGACCATACAAGGGCACTCTCACTATGCTTTTGCTATGAGCTCTCCCTTTAATAACTTCAGCACACTTGTGAGACACATGCACCAATCGACTATGTCAAGGATCACAAGTTATCTTTTAACTAGTGATAGATAATTCGGAAGGTTTCTAAAGGACACAGATAACAATCAGTGAAGGACATGTATTAGAAGTGCTAACTTTTAGGGACCGCTGAAGTATAGACAAGTAACTTTCCTGTATAAGAAGAGTCATGCTGTGTGTTGTTGGCTCTCCACATAATTTTAGGAGATGTAGGTGCAGAGAATCGAAAGCTAGAGATTCACACAAACACTCAAGATGAATATTCAGAATTATATTATTGCTTAGGCAAAAGCCTCTGAAGCTCAACATTTATTATATTCGATGCCCTTTTTTCAGAACATGTCCTTGTCTATTTATACAGTGATATTGTAATGTCTTAAGCTGATTTTCTTCCTTGATTTGCTATGTATCTGCTCCTGTTGGCGGATTATTTGCAGAGGATTTGGCAACGCTTCCTTCGATCTTGCCTTTGACTTTATTCAAATCCTGCATTGCCCCGCCACATATCATGATGGGGTTACGCCACGTGTCCAACTTCCATTCGTTCTTTCTTTGTACAAATGTTTTATTCTTATTGGTCCAGTCTTTTCCCTCCACAGACAAATTTATACCGCGGAAAAATTCTACACCCTCCATCCCAAAATAAATGACACCCTCTGGGACTCAACTTTTTAAGGGGACAATATATTAAGTGCATGCCCCCTTAATAGTTACAAACTAAATCAAGTACAAAAATTACTTTATTGATTTAACTAAAGTTTTCAAAATCAAAGGACAATTTAGAAAAAGTTAAAATTTGGAATATCCCACAAAAAAAAAAAAAGATGCACATTTGTTTTAGGACACCACAAAATGGAGAGCATGAAATTTATTTTGGGACAGAAGGAATAATATATAACCATGAGATAGTGTTTATATTACACTTTTTAGAAGTATATAATCATGTTGCACTGTTATAGGTGATTAATCAATAAAAGGCAATTCAAAAATCTCATGATATTGTCAACCAACTCAAATAATTTTTCAGGAGAAAAAATAAAGTAGAAACTGCCGACTGTACAGTCTAGAGTTAACTCACCTCAAGAGCTGTACATCCTCCTCGTTCAGAAAGGTAGGAATTAAAGATTCTGCATGGCTTAACAAGGAACCTACACATGCAAGACAGTCATCAGGAATGCAAAATTAAAAACGATTTTTATCCATTGGTTCAATCAGCTAAGTCTGATTATTACGTAGGTTCGTGCTAACCACAACAGCTTTTTCAGCCTCAGAAGCAAAGGAAAACCCATCTGATCTTTTTGGTAGCTCCTTCTGCAAGCACTTGAGAAACTTGTTAAGAAAGAGGTCTTTCTCTTCTGTGGATTGAAACAAGGAACTTGATTAATAAACAAGAATAATCACTGATAAGATACTAGTCAAATTTGTGTACATTGGAAAAGAGCTAAGGGTAAAACATTAACCTTTACAGATGTCTGGTACAAAACAATGAAGATTTGCTATTACTTTGACCAACAATGATGTTCTTTGATGTGCATATGAAGCCCTGGGCATGTTACTGTAAGTAAAAGTGGATCCTGAATTTGTCGCATTCAGCAAGTCTGATGTTGAATATGAATCCAAAACACAGCCAGCTGCAACAAACAGATCATACTCCAGAGTAGCATCTTCTTCTGATATTGGAAGATCAGATGAACACCAACTTGACAAGAATTCTCCATGTGGGAGTGAAAAAATTGCAGTCAAAACTTCTGTCTGAATGTACATTATACAGTAACACAGTCACCAACCTCATCATCCCAAATGCTTAAGCCATACATGGTAGGTGTCAATATAACATTGAAAACCCATAATGAAGCAATTCTTAACAAGAAATGCAAGAATTCATTCTTGTAAAATATTTGATTGTTCCTTTAGTTCCAAAAGAGCTAAGTTGTCTTTGGAAGCACTTAAGTAATTTATCATGAAGTGAAAGAAAGGAATCAAAAACCACCGGGCCTATGGCCCAATGGTGAGAGGTTTCCTCCCCAAAGGGGAGCTGAGCAGTTCGAGCCCCACATGGGGCAGTGGTGTTTGTGTGTGTGTGAGAGAGAGAGAGTGAGTGTACATGGGTTGCTTACATACCCAAAAAATGGAATTAAAGCAGATATATATATATATGAAGGGAATCATGACAAGCTACAGGTATTATCACAAAGCTTACAAAGTATATTGTGATATATGATCGAAAATTTGAATCATCAGAGAAGATGTCCGCTAGACGCATTGAATTGAGTTGCAAAAGCCCCCTTGGATAAGCTTTGTCAGAGCATGCACCAAGTTGTTTGGGATTTCTACTGAACATAGTCTTCAGCAGTTCAAGAACCTACAGGCAATTGAACTAATACGATCAGCTAATCGATTAAAGAATGTTTCACAAACAAAAGTGACGAATCTTGAATATAAATTGACTGACAATAAAAATTAAAACAAAAATAAACAAATAAAGAAACCAAGATGGACAGTCCTTGGCATAGTTGTTAAATTGGTTCGATACACAAAATTCACCACACATAACTACATATCATGCCATTATATCGCAAATGAACATGTACCACACAAGTGAACAAGTACCTTAATACAATAAAAAACATGAGGTAGTTGAACCACCTAGCTCACTTACTGGGATTACCTCATTGAGGGATAAAACAACAACAACAACAAAAACAAAAACAAAAAACATAGATTCGTAAATTAGGAATATCTGATTATAATACTAACCATCACTTAATAATATATAATGATTCATTAAAAAACAACCTGACTTCTAAACCAGACACCTGATTTTTTGCAATGACATTAAATTTAAATCTTAAACGATTCAGCTACATAAGATAATAATTTGGCAATGACTTCTTTCAGTGCCAACTAATTGTAGTTTTATCAAACAGAAACTTAGTCATTTGGTGAGTCAATTGTATTTCTCAAAAGCTGTAAGAAAGGAGGCTCTAAAGTCTAATCAAAACTTCTTAACTATCTTTTTTACCCTTTCCATCAAAAGATAGAAGATAAAATTAGAGAGAGAGAGAGAGAGAGAGAGGAACATTTTTAAAGAATTTCTAACACCAGATAGGTTTATTTTGGTTTTCATCACGCTTTTTTTATTTTAAATGTTCTTGGGCTTGTTCCATTCTTTAATGAGATTTCAAGTATCTCTCCCTACAAATGCTGAAACTTGGTTTCAGTTTTCTCCATGCATTTTTAGCAGGAGAGGCCATGTTGGATGGAAGTTCGATAAGATTGAAAAAAATATCGCATAATTTAACAATTAAAAATGAATTTCATCAACCAAAAGGTCCCTAACATTTTGGCTTTCATTCTGTTTTTATTAGAAGATGGCTGAAACGAGGAAGAATGAAGAAGGAAATGATCTTATGTAGCTTACTTTCAGGTAGTGCACTTATTGGATTCTTTTTGGGAAGTAGAGGGATTTGAACTACAGTTAAAGTTTCAAATATTCTTTTATCATTTTACTTATAAATATATATATATATATATATATTCTTTTATGGTTTAAAATAGATCTAATGCAGTGATGTTAGATTTATATTAGAGTTATTTTGTCTAACTAATGCACTTTAAAGTCACATATAAGATAGATGCATGTTTTTGTCCCCTCAACAATTTTTTTATTTTCTGATAAAACTGATTGCACTTTGTTTCGTGCTTCATTCTTACCATTCAATGTATAAGTATACTCATTAAGTCCTAAAAGTAAATGTATATCATGATACATGAAACAAAACAAGACACGATTCATAATAGGATACATGAGTTGGCAAACACTGCCATGAGATGCTTGTAGTTTGATGATCATAATTTGACAAGACCACACAGTTTTCGATGAGAAAATGATGATAAGTTATTCTCTTCTGGTGCAGCAGATATTTCGACAAGCAAACAATTCACATTTTCGCCTGTAGAATGCTTGTCAACAAGCCATGCCAATAATACTGCTCTATGAAAATAATAATGAGCCATTACTGGGTATAATGGTAAAAGGCCAAGCCTGAGGGCCGCATTTTGGAAAAACAATGCCAGAGGTTATGTCTATAGCATGCCCTCCAAACACTCTCAATTGGCGGGGAACAAAATAATTTTGATTGGTATCAAGGCAAGGATGTTGATGACAGTGGGTAATGACCTTTATCTACATGATGAATATCTATCTATAAAGGTAACAATATCTATATCATATTCTGAGGACCAACCTCTAACGCAACCGACTTTGCCAAATCCAAGCTTTGAGGAGTGCTGGCAACCTCATCCAAGTAAGATATGCTTTCTGCTTCACAGAGATGCAACAGCTGCCAAAAGAGAAGTTGGCTCATTTAGTGAATGAAGTTTATTTACAAAATTATCATAAAGTAAAAGGCTACAGTGTTCTCTAGCAGTTTAAGCCTCCAGAGATATGTACAAATGACCACAGTCCATCTCTAGGGACTTACAATTTGTAGAACTTTAGATTTCAGCCTAGATACAGCAGCCACAACTGAGGAGGAGTCCCTAAACAACGGTCCAATATTTAAGCTCAAAACGGCTTGAGCAAGCAGAAGAACACCACCTTTACCACATAGTTCCTGAAATAATAACAAACTCTCTTAACAATTCCTTTTATATTATTCAGGAATAAAAAATTTAAAAAAAAATTCTTTTTATATTGGAAGTACAGATTACGAGTATTCTAAACCAAAAACCTTATTCTTAACAAGGCGCTCCCTGAACAATTTTTGTTGGCACAATGACTGAAGAAACTGTAAAGAAGCCTCGCACTGTTGGAAGAGATGGTTCAATGTTTCTTCAGTAGTATTTGACTTGATGTAGAAATCAGTGGATTGAACTGACAGCTTCATCTGGAGAAACTTGATGTCTACAAGAACTGCTGCAAAAGCAGCATCCATAAATATATCAACCTACAACAAAAAAATCCATGATCAGCCATCTGCTAAAGGTGTATCCACCATAAAATTAAGAATAGAAGATAATTCATATCAAGACTTATCCAGCAAAAAGATGAGGTCTAACTAATCAAAGAACTTATATCACAGCAACCAAACTCTTTATAAAGGATCTTAAACATGCAAATGAGTGGCTTTAAAGATAAGACTGCTCAGAGTGTCACCAAACCGTGTTCCGTGGATTAAAAAAATCATGTGGAGATAATTTTACCTTAGGGTGAGCAATCAAAACATGAGCAAGGTCTTGCCACTGTGAAGAAATACATCCTGTTAATAGATATAGACTGCAGGCCACCAGTGCTGAATGCAGAAGGGGGATAGGACTTGAAATGTGATGTTCCTAGATCAGGAAATGTAAGCCTCAGTACAGATGAATAATATTGAAGATAGATCTTAAAGAAGAGGATAGATAGCAACCTGTCTATAACCGCCAAGAACAATAAGCATATAAAAGACCAGATCAAGAAGCTGTTCTGATACTTTTACATCATCGAGCAAAACCTGTGAGAAGAAATATTTCTGAAATCAAATATGAATTTCTTCCACATGGTCAAACTTAAATTAAACTCCTCTATGAAGGCATAATATTTTTGAAACTTCGAGGTACAAAGGGGCAAAGAAGTCATCGGGAACAAAAAAGACCCCAAAAGCAAAGAAAGATAAGCCAAATATTCAAGAATAAAACTCATGGAACCACACAGATGACAGATCAACTTAATGCATCCAAAATTCACGTCTCCTCTTAAATAGTTCATCAAACTGCATATGAACAGAAACATTTCTAATGCCACAAGAAATTTTCAAACAGCACTTAAAGTGTCATAAAGTCAATAAACTCATTAGAAAATGTTTAATATGGAAGCCACACATGAACAAGCATTTCAAACTAAGATAACTAATAAATAACAAATTTGGCCAAAGTAATGGTAACAAATTTGGCCAAAGTAATGGGAGTATCAAAGGCAAAAGAAGCAGGAACGATGGCCTGTTAAGTGATGAAGAAGGCAAGTGACTTAATGCTTTTATTGGGAAAACAAGAGAGGGGCTGTCCAGCACTCCAGTCCCTGCACAGCTGAGGCAAGCCTACTTATAGAAAGAATTATAGGCTAGTCAGGAAAAACAACAGGTAAAAGGCTCCCCGCTCCTAGGCTGGAGATACTTGGACTTCCAACTAGGGCTTCACATCGCTTTTCAAGGCAATGCCAAGCTATTGAATCAAACCCAGAACTGGTCATCCAAAATATAATATTGATAGATGCTGAGAACCACAGTCATAGCCACTACCAATGACGAGGCAATCTCAGCAAATTTGAATTGGTCAGGCTCATGCACTCTCTAAGAAATGAAACAATGTAAGTCGGACCCACAATCGGTGCAGCTCTGATCCCCTCTTGCTGGCTGCATGTGCTACATGCAATTGAAGCTTTTTCCTTTTTTTTTTTAGCGTAAGGAAGGAGGAGGATTTTCATCTCCTTTTAATTCTCCTATCTTCCATTAAGACCTAAATATAATATCTATCCCCTTAAAGTCCAGACCCTTAATGATACACACACTACCAAAATATGCGCTAACCTGCTCAAGTTTGGGGTGCCGAGGTGCTAGATCACACAAGGAATGCAAGAGCTGAATTCCGCATAACAAGTATCTGAACAAGGCTTCATCTCTTTTAGATGACATAAGCTGTGCAATAAGATGCAAAGGAAGATACCTAGCAAGTTTTTCCACATCGATCTGAAACATTAAAATTATGTCACATTGAGGGAAAAATAACTGATCAAATAGAGTATAATGGTGAGTTATATACTATAATTCCTATCAATAACTACCAACCCGTATAGATGATCCACTTTCAGTTAAGTGCTGGAGCGTATTATTTTCAGAGTCCCTGATTAGCTTACTAAGTTCCTGTGAGCTAAGTCCATGCAATTCTTTCACTGCTGAGATTAAGTCGATAACCTATCCAAAAGAGAGAGAGAGAGAGGAGCAAACCTCAATTCAAAGGAACAGAAATGAACATAGGACTACTAAACCAAATGCAACTGCTTAATTAAAGGAAGGATTTGCAAGTTCAAATGAAAAATATTAAGCAGTAACATGGGGGGCTGAACAGTCAGTGCACTTCTCAGTGGTGTATTGCACTGCAGAGCATCATTTAATAGGTTCCATTCCAGCAGAAACTACTGGAGTCAGCCAGATAATCAAATCAATATAACTTCTATCCGAGACAAGATACAATTGAATACAGAACCAAGATTCAAACATGCAACAAAAGAGCATGTTATATATAGAACTCAAATATCAGTCCAATATAAACTATACAAGCAAGAATAAATGACATGAGCTAAGAAAAAGCAACTCCCTCGCTGATCCTTATTTCCATGTCATTTTCTTCTTAATGTTATAAAAGTTAGGCGGAGAATAGAATCTCATCAGAGTTATAAAAGTAATGCAGAAAGAAGAATTTGGTTATCTCAAGCTTTAGTAAAATCTTTGAAGCATAGAGAAGCGTGAACAGCAACCACTAAGGTAATGAATATGCATGCACCTGATGTTCCGACACTAGGGCTGTAGTTCCCTATAAACTCGTTCGTATATGCATGCTAGTCAATCAAAAACAAAATGTACTGGTGAAAGGAACTAGTATGCATGAATTTTAGTATTAAAAAAAATGCACAAAACCACATGCATATCTGGCAAGCAATTTTCAGGTAATAAAAATATTAAAGTATCAGTAAAGAAAAATAGCCATCTGGACATGTAGATCTTCACAAATTGTCTTAATAAAAGACATAAAATGTCCTGATTGAGAAAAAAGAAGAAAAAATGGTATAAGCCTGACATATATAGGAACTAAAGCCTACGGAAGTAAGTTGGAAAAATAATTGAGCCCATTTTCTCCCAAAGAGGGGTGGGGAAGGGGATAAATAGTAATGAGGAAAAGTTAACCCGGCTTTATAAAGGAACATAAGACCAGTGGCAACACAACCTAAATGCGTCCCTTCTTGTGCATACACACCATTCCAATCAACCATCATGCACTTCCACTAAAAATTCTGCTTGATACTGTTGTATGCTAATGTTAGTTATATAAAGAACCCATTCTAAGGTTAATGCTTAGTATAACATTAAAAGCTCGGGCGTCAGAGCGAAGCTACTTGTGCCAAAAAAGAAATTTGCCAAAAATATTAGATTTCTACCCAGTCTGTCCCTTCAAGCACTCTAAATTAATCGGGAGTAGACCACATTGGATAGTGGCCTTTATATTCCATAATAGTCGGTTTCACATGAGATTTCTAAATTTAATTTTCAGTCTTATAACATCCAAGCAATACAACAACAACAACCAATTTTCCCATTCCACCCAACAAATTGAATTTACTTGGATGATTAACCATTTTCTTTTTCTTTTTCTTTTTATTTTTCCGCTGCAGTAAAATTGTAGTTTCAACTGCTATGTCACATAACATTACCCAGCTTGTAACACTTAGGTTGAAAACAAAAAAATCATACAACTAATCTTATCGCCAGCCTCCAAAAAAACAAATTATAAGAAGGCCCGAAACTTAAATCAAATCGTTCATGCAATACTCACTTGCTTCTCAGTGCTGCTTGACGGTTCTTCCTTGGCGTGCCTCATTGTTCTGGACTTAGAGCCTGCGACAAAAAGAACACAATATAAATAAAATATACATATATAAATACACAAGTGTATATATATGTATGTGAATGTGAATCTATACGTTATAATAAACGTATAATTTCTGAAAACCTTCAAAAGAAACGAAAGAAACCCTAGATTTACAGATAGGTGAAAAATTAGACGTTAAAGCCCTAGAAAATGAGAAAGATTCCAAAGATTAATGTAAAGAAACAGATACAACACACGAAAGAATCAAGCGAAAATAAAATTCAAGAACAGTAAAAATGACCTTGCGAACCGTGATGAGAATCTCGAGAAAAAGAAATTTTGAGCGCCAAAAATCAGGAAAAAAATTAACAGATTTATTTCACGTCGAGTTGGGATTTGAGAGTGGTAATGTGTGATTGAGGACTACGTTAATATATATATATATATATGCATACGCTTTTGTGTTTGATATACATCATATACTGGTCTCTGTCAGTGACGCGCGGTGCTAATGTGCGCTGGTGTAGTGGTGTTGTGTAAGAATAACCTCAGACCGTAGGGGTCCAAGTGTATAAATAGGCCTTTATCTGTTTGGGCGTTACGTTTATAGTTTGATTCTCTCTCCATGAAGTGAAAGAACCGTCATACCCCTGCTATTTTTATAGAATAACCCCACTTCGCTTTGTTAGATTTGGAAATGAATAAAACTCTAATCATCATTCATCACAACAATAATGATTAATGGACTGTACTCCGTGTAAATTTGTGAACACGTCACACGTCTAGTAGACTTTATATTTTGTATTTTTTAAGTTTTCATATTCATTTATTCATAATATAATAAAATGTATAAAAAAATAAAACAAAATTTAATAGGTTTTAAAGACTCATGACCTAAGTCAAGTCACATCTACTTTCAGCTTTTAAGTTTTTAAGTTGAAAATTTTGAGTTATAAATCAGTATAAATTTTAGGTAAAGAGCAATAAACGTTGGTATGATATATAATAGGGTATATAATTCTTATATGTTTTTGGGTCGTGATACATGACAGATGATTTTGGCTGGTTAGTTTGACATAATACATGTGACAATCCGGGTAAGCAACTAGGCTGGCAAACAATTAAAAGGAAAACAACTTCTCCTCTCTCTTTCTAATTCTCATATATGATGTCTGTGGCGATGGTTGTTTGGTTGCAGTAGCACAGCACATCAGGATGTGGTTGTGATATGGTGAAAATTTGTTTGAGAAACAACATACCACCCAAAACGGTGAGACGCACTTGCCGCCGAAAAAGCTTTAGATTGGAGAAATCGGAGGGAATCTGACCGGAGAGGCAGTTGGCACTAAGGCTGAGGACTTGGAGCTGAGTCAATTTTCCGATTGTGTTGGGTGGAATCTGACCCGCAAGGCCGACGCCTGAAGTTGCAGAGGTGCAACAACCCAGTTGTGACGCGCCGACAATGAGTTCTTGATCGTGTGGCATTCCACATTTTCTTTGTAAATAGGTTCTTACGCAGCAAGTTGAGAACCAACTCTCACTCCATTAAGAAAATTAGGTACCTCCTATTAGTCTGGAGTGGTAGGAAAGTAGGACTATTTCAACACAAAAGACTGATTTTTTTACTGACCAAGGTGTAGTTGTGGACGAAAGGCCTGGTTTTTTCTGCCCGAGTTAATACAACGTCAGCTCTGCGTAAGAAGAGGTACTCACGCAATTCGAAGTCCAATAAGAACATTCCCAATTTGGCGTAGATCTCAGGCGAGCAAGAAATAGGCCAAAATACATTTTCCTGCACCTCGCCTGAACCATCAATTAATCACTATTGAATTTTATTTTGGATGGATTAATTAATTGTTCTATGTGTTTGATGTGTTCTAAGTACAAATTTTGCTTCTTTGTATTGTGATTTAACTTATCTGTATACATAGCTTTATCAATATAAAATACTATAAAATTGCTTTGTTATTGATTTATGAATTTCAGTCTCCCCGCCTGAACCATCAAAGAAGACCCAAAAGAGGGAGGTGGAACGTTGCTCAGGCCACAGAGAGAGAGAGGAGAGACTGGAAGATGAATGCATGACCTTTTTTTTGCCAATTAGACACCACTTAGGATTAGGATTCTGCTTAACAAATAGAACAAATTCATCGGCGCAAATATCATTTTCTTATGTTTTTAAAAGTTCTTAATTTTTATTTTTGATATGAACAAGGGCTTATTGTTAGTGGAGCAATAAAAAGATTAGAGCGTTCTTAAGTACTTAAAAGAAGAAAAAAAGGTGAAAAAATTTATATATCTAAAATAAACGTTAGGGGTGTTATTTGTTCAAATTTTAAATATTATCAGTATTTTTCTCACTTTATCCTAATTGTAGTGTGTATACACTTATATGCTGCTCTCTTTCAAGTCGGAGAAAGTTGGAAAAAAAATGTTATTTTCTCCTTGAAGCTATATCTACCAAAATTAGCAACTATTTCAATATCTTTATACACAATCCTTTAGATTTTTACCCCAATTATTCTGTGCAATAATGTAGGGGTGGCAATTTGTGTTCGTGTTATGTCGATGTAAGAATATTATACTAAATAGGTAAACTCAAACTTAACTTATTAAATAATCTGTTTATCAAAACGATTAAAACAATTTACCCAAATATTCAAAATAAAAATAAAAAAATCATAAAGTATAGACAAGGTTTATGTTGAAATGATTTAATTATTTATAGTAATTGGGTTTTATAATCCAAACCCAAACCCATTTTATGACCCCAATCCAAATTCTTTTAACTTGTATCGTGTTGCAATTTGCCACCCATACGATAACGTTGTACATCAGTTTGTGAACAAACCGCTTGTAGAATATAGGTCTCAGGTCTTATTAAACTCAGGAATCATGCTTACTCATAAGTCAGGAATCATGCTTATAAAAGCCATATCACCATTTAACCTCATAAGTTCAGCGTCGACAAGATTTCAGATAACAAATTACATCAGTTGTGTTAAATAGATTTTGGAAAACTCTGCAACTCCTACAATAAATAAAAGAACAATTTGAAAACAGAAAAAATAAATAAAACAAGAAATAATTTGCATATTTTAGGTAATCAAATTCTTGAAAAGAAAATAGGAAAATATTAGGGAAATTATTGGCAAAGTCAGCTTGCTCCGTTTTTTCAAGACAATAAAAAATCAGGTAAAGGGCACCATAAAATCTATTTTTTGCTTGTTTAAAATCAAGACGGCTTGCTTTGTAAACACACAGCCTCATTTTAGCGAACATAAATATCCAGATACATTGAAGCAATTTATAAATGTGTGGTTATAACGTGAGGACATAAATAATTAAATTGCCAAAGTCGGGAAAGCTTTCAGGAGCATGCATGATGTCCAAATGCAATTTGAGAATGCTTCAATGGACCCCTTCAACCGAAGCATCATTGTCGCAAACGGCCTGATGACAAGTCTTGCTTCACCAAAAGGACATAGAGGCACATTAAGAAGCACTGGCCAAGGACTCTATTAGAAGCTGGTAACCTTCTGGCACTGATGTCTGTGTCTGCACACACACTGCCAACGCAGGAACATCAGCATTGACATCTAAAATTCTGGCAAGCAAGAGCAGGAGATGGAAATCGGAAATTCGCTTAACAAATGAAAGAGTCTTTGTTCGGTCCAGATGGGTTTTCAGCGCCTTCATTGTCACTGGGGAATTCCTGTTTTCAACTGGAAATGTCGTTGATAGTGGGCCCTGCATTATCGTACAAATTTTGATAGGGAAAGTAGTAGTGAATAGAAATGCATTATCATACAAATTTGGCCACCCGCTAACAAATTATTATTGAGTAATGAAATAAAATTCAATGCTTCAAAACAAGTACAACATGTTAAGTTGATAAAATTACTGAGTAACATTGAACTCCTAAGCAAATATATCACAACCTTTTGAACTGAGTTATTCTTTATAGTTTCACTCTGCTCTGATTTGCATTACCTGCAACCATGCTTCTTCTATTCATTAAGAGAGGAAAATAGCAAGCCAGCCACTCATGCAGTCCAGCATATCTTGTGACTGTCAACATGAGGGCATCTTTTAGTGCCTTGCCCCAAATTATATGTATTGTCATTTACCATTGGTACCACCCAGTTTCAAGTCAGCACCGCACTCCACTTGATCCATAATATCTTCATATTGTATTTTAACATTTTTTATGCATGCAAATTAAAGAATATCATTATTTTATAAAATTAATCTTCGAGTTAAAGGTGCTCCATGATTTATGCCATCATAAATCATACAGTGATGCCTCCCATGGGCCATGACAGCCACTAAATGAAGTGTAGCCTAACAGAAAAAGATGTTAATCATTACTCTCTCTGAATATCCAAAATGGAGGCTCTACAGATCTATTTGGATAGTGATAATGTTCTAAAAGAAAATTTATAAAGGGCATAGCAAAAAACACATCAGGGAGCTCACAACAATAAGTTCTCAAATGGGGAAAAAGAAAGTTTAGATACAGTAGCAACCATTGCAACAGGAGAAATCAAGAAACCATGCAGCAATATGATCAATTTGGCATTGACTTTTTATTTTTACGATATCAATTTGGCATTGACCTGCTCCTCCTGATTAACAGAATTAATTATCTAGATACAATGATAGGGCTATGCTACATCTTGGTTCCATCCATCATCATCCTGAAGCCGACCATCAAATTCCATCCGCCCATAATTTTCCAGCAAAACAAATAAGATACAATTTTGAAATGTAACAGGGTAACTTTGGAGAAAACAAACAGGACTGTAAATGAACTGAACTGTCCTTGCTTTGGTTAAGCTCGGTTTTAGGTGCATTCATATAGAAGACGAGCCAAGCCCAAGCTCCTTTTGAAGGTTCCTTTAATAAATGAGTCAAGCCCGAATGATTCCCGACTCAGCTCATACAGACTCGTCAACAGGTCCCATATAAGCTTAGCCTATCAAATCCGTCATAATACCAGCAAATCCGTCTCTCTCCCATATCCAAACACTCCCATCTCCCTCCACGATTCAAACACTTCCCCAGATCTCATGTGCTCATAATCTCACTATTTCTCTCCACTATGTTTTCTCATATATCTCTCCCTCCATGTATTTTTTTTCATCCGCATGATGGGTGTTGGGCAGATTTCTCTCTCATCTCACTCAGCTGGCATCATTAGTAGGTATGTAGTGTAGATATATTTGACAAGATAGGTAGTGTAGATATATAATATGTAGTGTTCATACATATATGTGTATGCATTTATACATATATAGAACTACAGATTTAATATGAAAACAAGTTTGAGCTTGAATCGAGCTCTAGGAGTAGAACTCTTTCAGGTTATTTTCCAAGTTGAAGCTGCTCTGCATTAAGTTACTCAAAAAACATATTTTGTTCCAAAACTCGAGGCTCTAGTTCAGTAGGTAATAAAATCAAGGAGACGTCCACAAACTTAACAAACAAGGTTTAAATTTATCAAGGGATATAAGCACATCCCAACAACGCCACATACTAATATCTCCTGTAGGCTATATTACATTGAGCAGGATAGAATACTCAACAGAGGTATGTGTTGAAGTGCCAAATTTATCAAGGGAACCAAGGGCACTTAAATACGACTAAATTTGCATTTCATGAACATTTTTCTTCTCAATGTTTTATGTAACATTAAGCATTTCATATAACACCTATGCCACATGGACACAAGTATGAGTATCAAGTTCAGAACCTAACAACAGAGGTCTAACTTGAAATCTATGCAAATGTTAAGTACAAGTATATAAAAATGTCTTGTATGTTCAAATACCTTTTACGTCAATTACTATATGGATGTATGAAGATTCTTTATTCAAAGAAATACCCAATTAATTTGGATTAAATAGAATGTATTGAAAAAAAGAGGTTTCATACAATCAATTTTGAGTTTCTTCTTCTTCTTCTTCCATCACGTGTTGGAGGATCATTGAGTCCAATGCCAGTAAGTATGAGGTTGACACAGTGACATTTAATGGGAATATGGAAGTACATGAGAGACATAGATGGACATCTCAATTACGATGGAATAATAATGAAATAAAAAACATATGCACAATTAAATAGTTGACTTCAATTAAATTATTGTATATTTGTTAGGCGAATGACCAACCAAACATCAAACACATATTGCATACCTTGCATTTGTGTGCCCAACATGGATACTTCACACATTTGAAAAATTCATATAACATACTAATAAATAAAATAAAATAAAATAAGAAAGAGTTCATATAGCATAACCTAGTTATAAGTTTTAGCCACCAAATTACTTGTTTCATTACTTTCATTGGATTTTATAATAAGGATTTTATAATAAGAGTTGAAACTCATATCATAAAGTACCAAAAGAAGATGCAACGAAATACACAAGACCAATGCAGAAAGATATAGAAGAACTATATCTTCATGCCCCCAAAAATTACTAGGAACAATTTTCTAGCATTCCAATGAAAACAAAGCCAACAAATTATAATTAGCAATTTTTGTATTTATCAGACACAATTTATCAAATATTTCTAGTAACTCATCAGATGTATCAGAGAATAAGCCATGAGGAGGAATCAGTTAGCCTCATCACAGTTATGAAACTTCCTAGTCATTCACAAAAATCTACAACAATGTTAGTTCCAAAATAGACACTCATCAATAGCAATTCAAACATTTTCTAATGTTCCACAATCTAATTGCCCAACATCGGGTCTTCCAGCTGAGCCTATCGCCATTCCTAGGCCTATCTCACCATCAGTTGTTCTTACAATCCAATTATCTCACCCTCAATTGTTTCTATGCTTTTCTGGTAAAAGATGTTCTGATGACTACTTTCCTTCTTTTAGTAACCCAAAACCAGATTCATGCAATAAACAAATTGATAAAGACAATCAAGAAATTTAAGTCAAAAGAGATGGTAAACTGCGTAGATAAATAACCAAAAATGGAAAATTGAACGCACCTGGTGATCGAATATCTTAACCACCACCAAGAAAAAATCATTATCAACTTCCCTGGTATCCTTCACTCCAACAACCACATCCTTCTTCATCCTCGACAGCTTCGGATCAACTTCTTCCCCGATTTCTGTCTCGAACCACCCTTCTTTGTACAGCCTAATACACATATCACTCATCTGAAACGCCTCGAAATGGACATCAGCACCACCATCCTCATTCACCTCCAACTTCACCATCGCTGTCACCCACTCCTTCAACTCACTCTGACCGTGAAGCTCCGTCGCTTGCAAAATCTCCGCATTCGACATCGTGTAATCTTTCTTTTTTTGACTTATCGTCTGAGTAAATATAAACCCTACTTTCCTCATCCCAAGCCCCAAAGCTATCGCCTCCACCAAGTTCTCTTCATCCGGGTCTCGCAACAGCAACAAATTATCCTCTGTGCCCTGCTGCGGCGGCTCGTAGATGAAATCCACCTCCACTTTGCCCTCCGGCGACACCGTGCCGTACATAATTCCGCCGCGCTTCACCGCAAAAGCAAGCGACTCGTTGACGTAGTTCTGGAACACGTTCGCGGTGTCACGATCGAACGATACGAGCTCGCAATGAGGGTTTTCCTGACGGGTGACTCGCATTTGCTTGGCGATTAGGTCCTCAATTGTCATCTTGCGTCCGAATGATCCCGCCGGTTTGACATTGGGACCGGCGACGGTTCGTTCGCCTTCGTACGCGAGATAGACAATCGAGCCGTGTGCGATACCTATAGACGAAACTAGGGTTTGGGGATTGGACATGTCGGTGAATCGAGCGATGTCCTCTAGAGTTTTGGCGAGCAAGAGGTTTTGGTTGGTGGAGAGGGTTTGGTTCTGAACGGGAACTCTAAGTTGGGATTCGATTAGGGTTTTGAGTTGGGCGATTGTGATGTGTGGGTTGTCGATCGTGATTCGCTCCAACCCATCTCGGCTTCGAATTCTGATCATCATCTTGACAACAAAAACAACGAGATCAATAGAACAGAGTGAGAGATGTTTACAGAGGTCGTGGACTGTAAATCAACTATGGCGGATTAACGCGATCAATAGAGAATTTGGAGTGGATGTGCGTGTGAGACACTCTCAAGTGGAGTATCTCTTGTGCAGCAAGAAAGGGTAAAGAACATCTGAGAAACAGAACGGTAAAGTAAAACTAGATATTTGTATATATATATAACACACGTAATGTTACACATCACAAAGGATTCCTAATGTTACATTACAAAAGGATTCCTATTTAAGCGTACGGCATCTAAAAATGTTAGCATAAAAATGTTAGCATTTGATCCGTGATCATAATTTATATAGCTCTCAAGGGCTGTGATTAATTGAAGTTTTTTTTTTTACACGATTAATTGAAGGATTGAGAAAAGACAAATTACACTTAACTCTCTTAAATTATTCCATTTCTTTTGATAAATAAAAAAAAAGCACCCTTTGAATTTATATATATATTTTGATATTAAATAACCCCTTCAACTTTTTGAAATTTGTCAAAACTACACGATGGACAACTCCCTAAATTAGTTAAATTTAGTTGTAATTTAATATTCTTGTCCTTAATGAATATTTTATAGTAGTTATTATTCTATAAATTTAATTATATGTGATAGTATACAAATTAACATGTATTTATATAACGGTTTATTTTAGTTCAATTTAGATTTCAAACCAAATCGAAGCACTTATAAATAGTGCTATATTTTTTGAATCGAAATCAAATCAAATCATGAAAAAAAAAAAAATTAACTTATCCAATTTACCATCTTAACTAAAATATTCAAGAGGATGGATGGAGAACTATTTTTTTTTTTTGAAAATAAACAAAATTAGGGAAAACAAGATTAGAATCCCCTTCCCCCAATTAATGGCCTAATGGGGTTGCAAACAAATCAAGTTGAGTATTAGGCTGCTCGGGCTCCACTCATTTATAGGATCAGCTCGGACTCAACTTGGATTGTGGCAAGCTCAAAAAAACTGAGCTCAGGCTCGGGTTCAGCTTGGCTTGTCTCATTTAAGAAAACAAATTGAACTTGTATTTAAAATATGTTTAGGTTCGTTTTCAAACTCGTCAGAATCGTTTAGTAAAACATTATATTTTTTTAATATACTTTCAAATATTAAAGAGTTCAAATAAAAAGTAAAAACAAATATACATGAGCCCACAAGCCAATGGTTCACAAACATATACGAATCCTATACGATTTTATGTTCGTGAATTTAAATGAACCTACACAAGCCAAGCCCAATATTGTTCATGATCAATTTGTTTACTAAACGAGCTTAGAAATCAAGCTCGAACTTGGCTCATTTGCTTAATAAACGAGTCTAAATTGAGTTTGAAGTATCCATGAACAATCCGATTAATTTGTAACTCTATTTACATACTAATTAACATAAGAGTAGTAATATTTGGGCCAATCCATTAGACAAAATACTTTAACCGGATACATTCGATGGGTGATCATTATGTAATAGATAATGAAGTGAAGGGTCCCATTTTCTTATATTAGGCATGTCCAATATTGACCGATTAAAAATAGTAGGGTAATCATGCCCAAGTTCTCAGCTTTAAAATCAACACTTTAACATAAAAGCAACCACTATTATTAGAAACATCAACATTGGTCATATCATTGAATTGGACGGCCCAATTTATTTATTTATTTTTTTTCTCGCAAAAAAAAAAAAAAAAAAAATGATAGATAGATAGATATGTCATTCCTTGCGAACGCAATGATGTGGTCCTGACAACATATAAGACTAATGTAACAAGGATCATTTGTCCCATATCGGATTTAGATGAAAAAGTGATTAGGTATAAATGGATGGGTATGCAGCACTACCCAACAGTTTGAACTTTTGAATAAATGAATAAGCATCCACTGTTACACATAGAATAATCGAAGGCAGTAATTAAAAGCTTGGTCATATAGTAGTTAAGCAAGGCATCACCTTCAAATCACACATTTGGAAAGGCAAACGTCATCGCCCAATTGAAACCTTCGAACATAAGCACACACATGAAACATGTTTTGGACCACCAACAGTCATAATACATATCACCATTCCCTTCCACGGTGGTTTCCATACTTGAGGCAAGGTAACATGCCTTGGCAACCAAACATAGAACAAAATGGTGGTAGCACTTCTTAATGGGTATTGTAATGTACCGGTACTTGGATCTTTCGTTGGTTCCACATAGCCATGCCTGTTCGCATAAGTATCCGCTCAGGCCTGGGCAAATATACAAGTAAGCACACCCCTCTGTACAACATTAAAATGAGGACCTTTAGGCTACAACCCATTGCAAAATAGGTTTGTCTTTGGATTAACCCAATGAGAGTACACTGGTTGGTTATATTGTCAATGAGCAAGTTTCGGGTTAGAGTTGAGGCCACGTTAGTTGCAGGCCCATGTTGCAACCCGAGAAGCATTGCGTGTCCTTCACGCACAATTGACCCCCTTTGACAAGTAATCCAAATTTTGACACCACACAGCACAACAACATAGTGCTCGAGGACATGGTGGGACCGTCGGAGCTCGAGATGGAAAAGATGAAAAGTTCGCTGATAATGTATCAACATCAGAATTGTCGGTGTCCACAAAGAACCACTGCCAATCACAAAAAGCATAAGAACTCAGTGCTCGAGAACAGGATCACGGGGAACTCAATGAACATAGAAGCAAGAACCCCTAAATGAGCAAGAATTGATCGATCATGGAAGAATGCATGCTTCCGTATCATATTAAGAGGATCTAGCCCTCATTTTGATGCAGTGGGACTCAATGCATGTTTGTTAGCCCTCATATGCAAACAATGGCACCAACATTTATTTTAGGACCAAATTTTACCCTTCATAAGATTTACAAGCATATTTTTTTTCCTTTTTTTGTTTGCTGGTAAATCAATATGTTATAAATCGATACTATTGCTAAGAAGATTTATTTCCTTCAAGTCTTGAATTACCACCCTAATCCATTATTTTAGATAGTAATATAAAACGAAAAATATTTGATTGTGATTATTTAACAAGTACAAGTTTTTTTGTTTGGTTTGGGGCCGAGCTGGGGTAGGGGGTATGATTGAAGTTGAGACTGAATGAATTGAAGTCGAGATTTCAATAAATGCTACACTATATTTAATTTTATTTATTTATTTTTTAATTATTGAAAAAAAACTCACACACACCACATCTACATATTTACTTTGCTCCTTTGGAGACTCGGACAATCACTATCCACTTTGAAAGTAGATAAAATACAACTGAACTACAAGGCCCTTGCTAATTGAAGGGGAATAAAATCCCACTGGGCCAACTTCAGCTCAGCCCGCCAATTAAGGAAGGGACCCAGCGGCCCCCAGCTCACTTACTCTCATTCAGGGCCTGTGCTGACTGAGAGTGAGGCCCAAGAAGAGATCCAGGTCGCTTAGGAGGGATAGAGCCCACATTATCTCAAGGTTTAGAAAAGACCAATGGATTTTGTGGGTAAGGATAAACTTCTATAAATAGATAAAAATAGGAGGAATGTAAGGGATTGATTAATAAATTTACTTTCCTAACAGGGAGTAGTTTCTTGCACATTCAGTAATGCTACACTAGATTAAGAAATCTGAATTAGTCTCAAAATTCAATAAATGTAATGCTTATTTTTTTAACAAATGAAATGAAAAATTATCCATCAAACATCCATTTAAGAATAGAACAATAGAGAAAATAAAATGATGCTGTACTAAATAAATTAAGTAGAATAACATATACTCTGTCACAAGTAAAATAACATATTATTGGTGTGTAATCATACTTTTTTACGATTTATAAACAATAGCAATGCTATTTAGATTTTCATCAAAGGAATGAAAGAATTTTTTATTATGATCTGAATAAATTCAAATATGTGGACTATCCATCACCTAAAAGGATAAAAATACTTCACTATTCACATCTGCTTGAAAAAATCTATTTAAAAAGTTATTTTATAAACAAAAAACGAGTGGCATATCGGTGATTATCATCAAAGGGAAGGTCAGGTCATCAAAAAAACAAAAAAGCAGATGTGAAAATTTGAAACGGGTGGCCGTTAGATAGAGAACTTCGAAGTTCAACAAAGAAGACGCCTTTTCCAAATATTCAAATTGATTCATTATCTTCTTCACCTCACTCAACATACACAGTAGAGAGAGAGATATATATATGACAGGAATGGTGATGGTGAGAAAGGATGGTGTTGGGAGTGGTGGTAGTGGAAAGGGAACAAAGGGAGCTGAAGAGCAAAACCAGCTATCTCTAATTGGATTTCTTTTGGCAGCTCTGAGAAAATCCATGGTCTATTGCGATGTAGATCGACGGGAGGACGTCATCTCCACCGTTAATCACATGGAAATCGGGTGGCCCATGAATGTTCAACACATCACCCATGTCACATTCGATCGCTTCAATGGCTTCCTGGGTCTTCCCGTTGAATTCCAAGTTGAGATCCCCTGTAGAGTCCCCAGTGCCAGGTTTAATCATCTCTCTTCCTCTGCCTTTTGGGTACTCTTAATTTCTTAATTATTGATCTGGCTTCTTTTGGGCACTTTTAATTTCTAAATACTTTATTTGGGTTTTCCGTATGCTTATAGTGTTTAATTTTAATTTATCATCGTTAAATATGTGTGTCAGAGAGAGATTATGAAGTTGTCCAAGATTAATTTCCAATGTACTGTACTATTGCTGTTAAAATCTTCATATTAATTACACATTCACTTCATATAAACATGTTCATTTTCCCTTTATCCACAACCAAAATGGAGGTTCATGGAGAATGGGCTCAAAACAATTGAAGTGATAGGACATAAGATTCATTCACTTGTTTACGGTTTTCAAAATGCGACAACCACTCCTCCTTGAAATCCAGCTACACACCAGTTATCCACACATATAAGTGTCATGAACTTATCCCCTGACAACTGAAACGGCACACTACTAGCCAAGAAAAATAGTTGCCCAAAAAAAAGCTTTTTAAGATTTGAAGGATAGTAGAATTACCTCATATACAGAGAGTAAGAAACCATTTGTTTTTACCCCAATGTTTCTTTACCCCTAAACTTTGTGTGCATTGCTAATTGTTTATACGCAATTTTGTAGTGCAAGCGTGTTTGGTGTCTCAGCAGAATCGATGCAGTGTTCTTATGATTCGAGAGGCAACAGTGTCCCTACAATTCTCTTGCTCATGCAGGAGAGATTATCCTCACAAGGAGGTCTTAAGGTACATTACTGAATGCTGCTAAATATTGCTGTCATTTCAAAGGAACATAAGAATAGCTATACACACGTGCTTGCTTTGATGTTTAAAAGAGTTTCCAACTGAACTCTTTGAATTAAATTTTTACAGGTGGAAGGAATTTTCCGTATAAACCCTGAGAACAGCCAAGAGGAGCATGTCAGGAACCAGTTGAACAGAGGCATTGTGCCAAATGACATTGATGTCCATTGTTTGGCAGGTCTCATCAAAGCCTGGTTTCGAGAGCTGCCTTCGGGTGTGTTAGATGGTCTGTCCCAGGAACAAGTTTTGCAATGCAACACGGAGGAGGAGTCCATTGAGCTCATGAAGCAGCTAAAACCAACCGAGGCAGCGTTGCTCAATTGGGCAATTGATCTTATGGCTGATGTCGTAGAGCAAGAGGAATCCAACAAAATGAATACTAGAAATATCGCCATGGTTTTTGCTCCAAACATGACTCAGGTAAATCAGTACACCTCACAAAGTATGATATATATTGACTAGTATAGTTGATCGATAAACTTAAGCTCTTTTCTTTTGTTTACCTGATCAGATGTCTGATCCATTGACGGCCCTGATGCACGCTGTCCAAGTAATGAACTTGCTCAAGACCCTGATCATGAAAACACTAAGAGAACGCAATGGGACTGCAAGTGGTGAATACTCACCCATGTCCTCTCATTATTCTGATCAGCAAACTGGTGAGGAATTTGATAGCCAGCAGGAGATGGATAGCAGCTGTGAGTTGAGGGGTCCATTATCGGATTACGATGATCATGCCCATTACAGCTACTGTAGTGAAGATGAAGTCGAAGATGAGTACGAGTCAAGTGAGATAGAGAAATGTTTCTTGAGACAATTGAACGAGTGTGACAAGTCCCAAAATATTTCACTAGAAGATTCAGTAAGAGATGAGCAGAAAGAGCATGTGAGTCCCAGGAAAGACTTTATTTTCAAAGGAAAATGTAGTGTTCCATTATCTGATACGAAAACTGGGAGTTCTGGTTTGAGCACAAGTGATGGAGAAGACTCAGTAGCAAGCATGATTGTTCTTGGACGGAAGGACAACACGTTAATCTCATCAAAAAGATATGAAAACACCAATGGAGTGGAGGTGGTAGACACCACCAAGGTGTCTGCTTCTCCTATGCCTTCACTTGGTGTCCGGTAAATCTGTTCGAGATTTCATTTGCAAATTTGGTGGAGGTGGTACCTCTTTTGCAGACTTCAGATTTCCCTCTACAGTCATGGTGATTTTGTTTTGGAAGCTATAGCCATGGTAAATTGCTTCTGTAAATTGATGGTGTTTGTGTGTTTGGCATTGGTTGTCTAACAGCGGATGTGAGTGGTTTGCTTGTGATTGATTTTCATTCCTTGTTCAGCTTATGGCTGGACCTGTGTTCTTTTGTAATTTAGTGATTCACCTCACCGGCGACCATTTTAGAATTGCAGTTGTCCTAAAAAAAGAAAAAGAAAAGGCAACTGAAGGATTTTTAACTTTGACCACTTTACATATGAGATGTGTTCAAATTTCCAGTTGCTTATGTTACTTTGCTCGACATTCATTCTTAGTTTACCAAGGTTGAAAGTAATTTAAAGTGACAAGTTTCAAACTGGAATCTGTAAACCTAGGTTTAACAGCATATGACACTATGCATCCTCTTATTGATTGATAAACAAACTGCAAAAGCCAAATGAATTGTGTGCAATTTACATAGACTTTAACAATTTAAATGTTTTATAAACAAAATAATGAAAGTTAAGTATAAACAGGAAATTGATTGCCCAAAAGTGGTCTTTACATTTCTTGAACACCAAAAAGATACTAAAAAGAGACAAAAAAAAAAAAAAAAAAATACAAAACAAGAACAGATGGAATTCATGACTCAAGATGCCAAACAAGCCTCCCAGAAAAGCCTGTTATTTTCAATCTCATTGATCATCTCCATGGTTGATTCAACACAAGTCCTTGATGTCTTTTGTAGCCCTGCTGCTGTCACCAAACCTCGCACGGTATTGGGTGGCACCAACTTACTATCACCCGTCCAATCTCGGTGATCAATAGCTTCCTGATCTTCTTCCTCCTCACTCTCATCATCATCGTCGGAATCACTGGTATGAAGTTCATAATCAAGATCATCATCACAATCATCATCAAACTCTATAACACGTGTACAGTCTGATGAATCACAGCTGCATGATTGTGCATCATCGTCTGCTACATCCACCTCCATGGTCATTGCAACCATATTGAGATCAGAATCAGCTTCAGAATCACCGGTGGCCTCAAAGAGCAAGAAAGAAGATACATCAACAACATTCCTTCCAGCCATTTTCCTTTTCCCCTTCACAACCACATTACATATATATACATCAAGATAAATTATATATATATATATATAGACATTAGACACACATAAAATATGTAGAGATTAAAAAAGATAAGAGTATGACGTGGGTTGTCTTCTTTTGACACTTTTAATGTCATGGTGGGCTAACTTAAATCTTTGGGTTGTTCATGCCGACTTCTTTCATATTTGAATTAGACCAATAGACTCGCACACCCACACACGTGTATATGTGTGTGTGTGTATATATATATATATAGAGAGAGAGAGAGAGAGAGAGGCACGAGAGATTTAAAGGAATCGGACATGTGCCCATCTTCTAGAAGGAAACAATCATGTTCAGTAACAATTGACAACATACTCTTCCCTTCTAGAAGGAAGGTGACTTCCTTTGACTTGTACGTGTCAAACTGCCGTGCCAAAACTAGATCACCGAGTATCCAGATTTACTCTTCAATTGTAAACTTGCGTCACCAGAAAAACATCCACAAGTTGCGTACGAAATTAAGATTGAAAGTACGCATGCATTTATATATACATATATACACCTCACGACGCCAAAATGTTGGTTTGTTTTTAATGGAGACCACTACCATCAAAAGTCAAAATCATATGCTATCTACCCTTCACAGGCATTAATATTAGGATCTTTAATTTAGATAAATAAAAAGAATACCACAAAAAATAAATTAAAATAAAACAAGTTCCTTAATATGCTGTCTACCCTTCACAGCATTAATATTGTGAGATATGATACAGGTTGCACTAGTTTTGAGGAAAATTGAATGGAGACAATCACAAAGGATGGGAGATTAAAAGTTAGGTAATCTCTTTTTAATAGGTGTTGGTGTATATACACACGTTGACGTTAAATATATTTTATTATTATTATTATTTTTTAATATTTTATTATTTCAAGCACAAAAGTTTCCATGTTTTTTAATTGACCATAGATTTGCAGAATTGTTGAGAAATTAAACAAATAAATGGATAAATGGATCTAAAAAACAAAAATGATGTTATAATTATTATAAGAAAATCAAGTACTACAATAGATAAGCAATTTTTTTAAAATTATGAAAAAATAAAAACAAGGTGTTTTAATCAACCACATCAATGAAGCCGAACCGAACAAATTGACCAGACAAAATTCAAACGAAAAAAGAGAGAAGGAAATCATTTTCCCTTCGGAAACATAAAGCCAACATTTGAACCGAGACTTGGCCAGTTCTTTTCCTGTGTGCTGTGCTGGTTTGGCGATCAATCTGTGAATCAAAACAATTACTTACAATTAAAACGTGTAGATAATGTCATATTACATAAGTGTGGTGTTGCTGACACAGCTAACCTTTTCAGAGCCAAAAAACCGCTGGTATCGTATGGGGCACTTTCCAAGTTTTTCAAAAGGCTAGACATCCTTCTTTTGAACCTTATCAAGAAGAATTTACCAGATAACGTATAATAAATAAATAAATCAATCAATCAATTCATGCCAAAATTCTGAGATTCCCTCCAAGCCAATTAAAAGAAGGGAGCTAGCTCTATTTTTTATATTTTTATAAATTCAATAATAAAAATAATCCTAAATTATGTTAATACAACTCTATCAACTTACTTTTCAACTATTTTGTCTTTTTTTTTTTTTTTTCTTCCCTCTCTCTTTCATCCCCATTCTCTCCTCTCTCCCTATCATCTTTCCTCTTCTACTCGTATTTAGATTGCTCAATGTATATAAAAACACAAATCATTGTCAATATTATCAATTTGAAATAAAAAAGAGATTAATTAGAGCAATATAGAAAGAAGGTGAAAAGAAGTAGTAATTATATTTTTAGACAATATTGACGATAAAGACTAGGACAACAAGACATTACCTAATATAACCTCAAAGGCTATAATCATAAATTGTGTACTCTCTTTAAAAGTCGTATTCTTTCTCCATAGTTTTTCAACTTCTTTTTTTTTTTTTTTTTTTTTTTTTTTTGGGTGTGGTAAGTATAGAGTTTTCCAACTTTGATAGCTTCCTGGATAGAAATAGATATTCAATGTTCTTAGTTTTTTTTTTTTTTTTTTTCAGCTATTCCAAAAATTTGACCGTAAAAGGCTACACTGGTTTGCTAAATTCACCACAAAATAAGATAAATAGGTATTTGTAAATGGTAGGTGTTCGTCAATTGGAGAAAAAAATGGAAGCATACAAAAAAAAGGAAAAAGAAAAGATTTAAACGAGAGTAATTTGATGGTAGGCCTTTGTGATTCAGTTAGAGTAAAAAGAATAAACATACAAAGATGGAAATAAAAGAAATGGAAATGAGAGTGAATTTTATTTGATAAGACTTCTAGAGAGATCAAAGAAGTGAGAAAGAGGAGGAGACCAACTAAGATAGTTAAGGGTTATTTTTGTTATTTAATTTATAAATAAATTAAAATGAAGCATACAATTTTGAAATTTCAATTACCCTAAGGGTGTGTTTGGATAAATAGGGGAGAAAATAAAAAAAAGGATAATATTAGTTAGGAGAGAAAGTAAATGATAATAATAATTTCTATTCGTTTTGGATGGAAAAGGGAGAAAAGAAATGAAATGATAGATATTTTTGTTTAGATAAGATAGAGGAGAGAAAAGAAAAAAAATGATAGTGACCAAATTACTGTTTTACCCTTTCATTAATATCTTCACTAAAATGTTGAAAACCTTGGTAAGTTAACTAACATGGATTTAGATGGATGTTTTGTTCAAATTCCATTATTGCAAAATTGTTACTGGATTTGTCAACATACAATCACATGTCTTTACAATCAATCAACACAAACACCAAAATTTATCAATATCACCATACGTATACTGTGATATAGACCAATACTTGAAACCATATAGAAAACATTCTTAACGAACCACCATATATAAATCTGAGTTTTATGACTTTAACACTGTTTTTAATACATTTCAATGGTTTCAACTTTGGCCCTGGTGCTACCTTATTTTATATATCCTATTATCATTTTTCTCTAAGATATTAACAGTAGGAAACCCATTCAACTGACATGAATATATCAATACAACAATGAGAAGACTCCAATATTATCAAACCAAGTTGGTACACTTGAACTTGACCATAGAGAAGCACCCTACATGTCAAAATGTGATTTAACACACTTATTACATTTCTAGTTTAAGTATTCAAAATAGGAGGAAAGAAAGACGATATGAACCAAAAAATAAATTTGTCTAAAAAAAAAAGGCTATGATGGCATCAGCAAATGCCAAAATCTTTTACTACTGCTCAGTTGACTCATAAATAATCTTGCTCCTGCTCAGTTTAACACATAAAAAAAACGCTTTACTTGAATTTAGATCAACAAATGTGGTAAGCATTCCAATTCATGTAAAATAACAAAAGTGGTGAGTGGATTATCAAATATGAGAATCAAAATCTAAATACCACATGATAACAATGATTGTGTCGCCTCTCACAATCGGTTGTTGCCCTAGTAAGAATAATATATAATTGGGACATAAATAGAATTACTATTCAGTATGTTTATTTTTAAAGGGCATTTTTGGTATTAGGAATTTACAACTTATTTCACTATCCTTTTTCTTCCTATCTTCTCAAATTAGGAGACAAAGCCAACAACTGATAGGGAGGGATAGCTATCCCTCCCTATCTCTCCACTTAATCCTACCCAAATACAAATATATATATATATATATATTTACTTATATTTAGAATTCGTAGTGGTCTGTAGGAGTATTCTTTTAGGGTGTGTTTGGTAGGGTTGATTTGGAAGGATAGGGAGAAAATATATTTTATTTTTCTTTACAAATTTTAAATTTACAAAAAGATAAGTGTTCTTCATCAGTTGAGAGGTTCCTTAAGTTTATATATATATATATATATATATATATATTTACTTATATTTAGAATTCGTAGTGGTTTGTAGGAGTATTCTTTTAAGGTGTGTTTGGTAGGGTTGATTTGGAGGGATAGGGAGAAAATATATTTTATTTTTCTTTACAAATTTTAAATTTACAAAAAGATAAGTATTCTTTATCAGTTGAGAGGTTCCCTTAAGTTTATACATATGGCTGAGTTTAGGTGCACTTATCAACATATATGGGTCTACTTTACTTTGTTAGAATGTAACATAATGCAACGGACGGTTACAAATACTCCACTAAAGTAAAATAAATTTATAATAGAACTAAAAGATTAATATATATACTTTAATAAAGTGTTTGTAACCGTTTATTATCATTACAACGGCTATTCATAATCCAAATCCCTTGATAACTTTCTAGCCGGTACCCCCAACAATGACATCCTTTTCCTTCTAATAAGAAATCACCATGCATGAATGGTTACTCCATTTTTTTTTTTTTAACTAGGACAAAATAATGAATGATTGGCTCAGTACTACCATTTTTTTTGGGTACCCTCGGATACCCAATACTTGCTCAAATCCCTAATTTTTTAGGTCCCTCAAAGATATTTAACCCACAAATCAAATGGTCAAAACACCATCTCAATCATCTCATCATAATATTCAATGTCTCAAATTCTCTTTGGTTATGTTGGGCTTCATTAGGCCTCAGACTTGAAATTAGAAAAATTGAAAAAAAAATTTACTTCAATTTTATGAATTACCTTTTTCACTTAAAATTGATGAAATTGATTATTTAAAAAAATTGAATTACTTTTTTTTTTTTCTAATTTTACTAATTACAATTTCAAAACTTTAATTTCATTCGATTGAATATAGCTTTTAAATTAAAGCAAAAAGGATGATTACCCATGTGGGCTAAATGTAATATACCATTGCAAATTTCATACATGCCCAAGCGAGCTTAATGATACGCATATAAAATATATTTATAAAAAAATATTACCTTTATAGTACGGTGCTCGTCGTGGTCATTGGTCAACTGCAACTTCTGATATTATTTACACAAAGTGCTCAAATCTTAGTTTGTATAATTGTTCAAAGCATTTAACCATAAAAATATCCGTTAAAAACAAAAAATAAAAAAAAATGGCAGATCATTAAAACTAGGAAGGAATGAAATGGCAAGCAACATCTGTGTTGCCAAACCTTTGCCAACAGAGAGCCGGCGATGATAGAAAGACATCAACTAGATGCAGTGACGTTCACGACCATCATACACAAATCGGAAAGTAAAAACATGTTTATACTAAAATATCCTCCTTATGTTAAAAAGAGATCCTATTCATAAACTCCACCTTAAATGAACGGCGGAGTCTTGGAATCATATAATAAATATGTCTTATTCATCTGCAGACAATGTAATCTGCATAAAGCAATGAAGTTTGGGGAAGAGGGAGAGAGAAAGAGTTGAACGGATACAATATGCTGAAGTAGACATGACATGCAGACACCACGTACACCTTTCTCTTCACAAGTGAGAGAAGATGGACATAACACCATACTGTTTTCTTCACCAATGAAAGAAGATGGATTAGACATGACATGCAGACACCATACCTTTCTCAGCAATGTTCTATTTGTTGTGAACTGGTAACTAGGGTACTGAGAATGGACATTTGCGCTAAGTGGAGGGAGAGCTTCATATCAAAGAAATTATAGAAAGACTACTCATACGCTAATCCCACCATCACAGTGTAACAACCGAAGGCACAGAGGAGCAAATAATGACCTCTGAATTAGCCTACGGAATATTATGCTATATAGAACAACCTGACTCTGCTCATATGCTTGAAGAAGATGACTACAGTATAGTATATGGTTGTAAAACACCAAATAAATAAATAAATAAAGTGCCAATTCAGTATTACCAAACATAGCATGAGTTTCTTTTAGTGCTAGAAACAGCTGCGAATTGATTTAAGAGGATTGACTGGCACCTTTATATCCTAATATAAGAGGCATGAAGATAACATGGTCGTGGACTAAATCTTGTTTTCTTTGACCAGCTCACAAGGTAAGACCCTTAAATGGAGCATGAGGCTTATTCGAATTCGTAAGAATCCATGTCACAATTCCACGAAAACAAAGATATTATCCACACAATCCAACACGGACAATATTAAAGATGGTACTAGGGTCCACTAAAATGCTTAAAAGCTTGGTGGTTCAGTGCCAGGTGTCCCCTCTGACAAAGAGGGCCTCAGTACCTGACAACTCCTTTGATATACTCAAAGCATGAGACTGATGGCTGACCAGGTTTGCCATGGTGATTGTAGCAGTGGAAACCACACTCTCAAGACATATAGAGGCTGGTAGAGCTTAATCCAGATAACTAGAATCGGTGGTTACAGTACAAGATGAGAAGGGGTAATCACCTTGGGCGCCTCATCTTGTCCCAACAATGATAGGCCTCTAGTTATCAACAATGGCCATTGACCATACACTTAAAACAACCGTGAATAATAAAAATGCTATATTCCATACAAACTCACATTCAAAAAAAAAAAAAAATTGGAAGAGAAATAAAATAAGGCATGTTACATATACCTCTCAAGTGAGCAGGAAAAAGAAAAGGTCAGCACATAGTTAACTCCTAAGCCGAGCACAAAATTAGGAAAATAAATATAAATAAGATTTAATACTGAAAAAATAATAATAATAAAGATTATCATTATACCTCAATGCAAGCAATTCTATGAGCCCAATGCTAATAACAAAGCCAGGGAACAACAGTTAAAGATCAAAATAGAACAACTTCAGAACTAACTGAAGTCGTGCAATTCCAGCAACTAATCACAGATTAAAACAACCAAACATGCATTAACCATGCCAAAGATATTATATGAACTTAAATAATTATGTGCAATCGAGTGAAACATGGCTCTTTATAGTGCAGATCATATAGAATAAGCAAAACAGTGCCAAATTTATAATTCAAACACCCTTATCAAAAAATCATAATCCGAGTATTAAATCACGAAGGAAATCCTAAAAATAAAACATTGCACAGAAAATTGGCCTTAAACCTATAAGCTTGCAATAATATAAACACTTCATATGTAAATTTAGTGTATTAATTCCTGAAAACCATAATAAATGCAAGCCACAAATTTAAAAATGCAAATATTAGGATTTTTTTTAATACCAAATCATATCACAAAAAAAGAGAGTGTTATGATAACTAGGGAGGGGAGGGGGGAAGAGAGAAAATTATTATCATTCAAACAATTAGCAAAAGTTGAATTATACAGTCCTAGAAGCTCAACTATACAGAACAAGCAGAGTTAATCACATAAGCTAATCATGCTGACCTGATCATAATACGACATCATTCCAACACCTAAAAAATGTCCTAGATTAAGAAGAAACAAGAACTAAAGCAACTAAAAAACAATGGAGTTTGAGAACAGATGAAAACAATGCCTTTTTCAAATTACGATTCCCATAGCCAAAGAAACTAAAAACTCCAGCAAGATAAACTCAAAAAATACCTAAAACATCCCCTTATAATAGTTTCCAAAAAGACTGAACCTTTTTATATTTATAATTTTTTTGTTTGAAAGAAAACCAAAAATAGGTTAATACACAAGAACATGTACACATAAGAGGCTAAACATACATTTATCTTGATTTAGAACATTCACATATCAAGTAGGGAAAAAAAATAAAATTCACCCTAGCCCTAAAAATTGTGCAAATTAGCCTGCTTAAAATAGTAATAGCAAGCAAAACAGAATCCAAAGCATGCTCCAATAAATGAAAAACATGTTAAAAATCATAAAGAAGAGCTAAAGGCCAAGATCAAACCAAATTATTCAAGCATAGCACAAACGGGCATACATTTCAAATAAAAAGAAAATACGAAAAGCAATATGAAAGAGAGGCACATTTGCACAAACATCTGAGTTTAAGACTCCCCAGGCATTCTCAAACTCCCAAAGTGTTCTGAAATTGAAGAAATTCAAGTTAGAATTCATTACAATTGAAGCTTCAAACCAACTTCCAAGTACTTTGCTCAAAATCCTCGATTGGTGCACGATTTGAGGTCTCCTTATTATGTTATGGGAGGTAAAAATTAAAATGGTTTATTTTCAAATAGAATGTATAAATTGAAGGATTATTCAACTTGTCCGCTGCAGAGGATGAAAGTGAGGTACATATACGTGAGAGTTTCATAATCTCCAAACTAGAGTAAAAGCACAAGATGTAAAACCACTCTAAAGAAAATGCCAGAGACGCGTTTATTAATAAACTTAAATGAGTGGTTACAACAACTTAGGACAGCACCAGAATCAACAGACAAAGAGGATCAAGTGCAACCTCTAGTGCAAAGGTAGATGACACTTCAGGACCTAAAAGCATGATTATGAAAGCAACCAAAGAAGCCTGTGAAAATGTCCCTAAATTTGGTGTGCCTAGTCTACACCACTTAACAGGCAGCTACTATTTTAACACCCTATGCATTACGAAAATTGGGCACTTTATCACAAAATCGAGTGCTAAAAATTCTGCAGAGCCTTCAAGTTCATCAAATAATTATCTCATAACTTTAATGCTTTACTATTTTTAAAACCTTTATACTAGGTATATATTACAAAAATTGGTCACTTAATAAAAAAATTGAGTTCTAAAAATTCTAGGGAGCCTTCAAGTTCATCAAGTATTATCTCATAACTTCACTGTTTTCAAATATTTATACATTCCAACCATAGTCTCCATTGAAATCCACATGCTTCCAGACCACTAGGGCTGCAAGCAATAAACCTTTATTTGACAAGATGCTGATAGAGGTATTCAAATATATGCAACTAAGCACAAAGCAATGCAGCTAAGCAATGAAGCCCTCATTGTGTGCCCTGATTCAAGAGTAAATGGTGATTTATGCATCACTATCACTAAATGAAACCAAAATCTCAGATAACGTGGAATAAAAGAAGTAAGAACAATTCAAAAGCAATTTAATCAAAACAAATGCAAGCTACATGATCCCATTTTGTTTACAATCTGTATGAGCTTCTGCAAATATCGAGGAGCTGTAAGATCATTTGTTAGGGCGATCTAAACATAAATCCAAGAATTTTAAATAATTGTTTTCAAACGATTGCATAGTATATATCAAGAGTAAAAAATTTTAGTTCTCAATCTAAGCATTGTTACATTAGCATAAACGTATATTTTCCCACTTGATCACCAGTATTTATCCCAACCTGTCCTTGTACATCACTCAAACCACCAAAGGTCACACTGAAAGATTAATGGATTCACTTGGTGATCCTTTAGAAGAGTATAATGAGGATAAAGCTTAGTGAGTATTAAAATTCACTTACGGTATCCAGGAAAATTCCCCATCAGCAATTGATGAGTGACTCTTTTCAACATGGCAATTGAGCCGAAATGTGTCCAGCAACAATTGGGACATTTGCCAAAATTTCATCTTCATTGACCGAAATATGTGCAGAAAAAACAAATGTACTTTGTCTTTGTTGAAAGAGAGAGAAACAGAATATATGAAAACTTATATGTTATTGAGGAATACAATAATACAATGGTGTTTATATAGGAGAAGCTACGGGAGTAGGTGAGTAGAGAACAAGTAAACCCTATGCATGGTAATTTTCTATATGGTAACGAGGGATAGGTGACAACTCATACAATACTAACTGTACACGTGTGACAACTCATACAATACTGTACAGCGTGACAACTCATACAATATTGTACAACACTCCCCCTCAAGCTGGAGAGTAAATGTCAATAACTCCCAGCTTGCTACATATGGAATCAATAGAGTTCTTGGGAAGCGCCTTAGTGAAGATGTTTGCCAGTTGCCTACCAGAAGGAACAAAAGGTGTAACAATCTCATTCGAGTCAACTTTAGGTTGAATAAAATGGCAATCTACTTCAATGTGTTTAGTCCTCTCATGACAGACTAGATTGCTAGCAATATGAATAGCTGCCTGATTGTCACAATGGAGAGGAATTGGGCACTGAACTGAAATCCCAAGTTCTTGTAAAAGAGTTTTCAACCAAGTAAGTTCACAAGCAGTGTGTGCCATGGCACGATACTCTGCTTCAGCACCGGAACGAGCCACAACTGACTGTTTCTTACTCCTCCAAGTTACTAGATTTTCTCCTATGAAGGTGCAGTAACCCGTGGTGGACCGTCGATCAGAAGGAGAACCGGCCCAATTTGCATCTGCGTATCCCTCAATCTGAAGATGTCCAGAAGATCGATAAAACAGACCACGTTCCGGAGCACCCTTGAGATACTTCAAGAGGCTTACAACTGCCTCCATGTGAGGTACCTGAGGACTGGTCATGAATTGGCTTACAACACTAACTGCATAGGAGATGTCTGGACGAGTGATTGTGAGGTAAATAAGTTTACCTACAAGTCTTCGATACATCTCTGGATCATTGAGTGTGTCACCATCATCTACCTTAAGTTTTACATTAGTCTCCATGGGTGTAGCTACAGGTTTTGAACCAAGATATCCAGTATCCTGTAAGAGATCAAGAGTATACTTCCATTGAGAAAGACTAATGCCTTGCTTCGACCGAGCCACCTCAATTCCTAGAAAATACCAAAGTTTGCCCAAATCCTTAGTAAGGAAGCTAGAACTCAAGTGATGGATTAAAACTTGTATCCCATCTTTATCACTGCCGGCGATAACGATATCATCTACATACACCATAAGAATCACAATACCACGTTTCGTTTTCTTAAGAAAGAGAGAGTGATCAGCCTGGCTTCTAGTTATACCATGAGCTACCACTACTTTACTGAACTTATCAAACCATGCACGAGGGGACTGTCTGAGGCCATAGATAGACTTTTTGAGATGGCACACACACTCCCTCTTAGGCTCAAACCCAGGTGGTTAAGTTATATAGACTGTCTCAGTAAGGTTACCATGCAAAAAGGCATTTTTAACATCAAGTTGATGAAGTGGCCAGTCTAGATTAGCTGCAAGAGAGATTATCACACAAACATAATTCAATTTGGCCACAGGAGAAAACGTCTCAGTATAATCAAGGCCATGAGTCTGAGTGTATCCTTTAGCAACAAGTAGAGCTTTGAGACGGTTAATAGTACCATCAGGCTTCTGTTAAACAGTAAAAACCCAACGACAACCAACAACCTGAGCATCAGCAGGCTTAGGAATAAGGTCCCAAGTATGATTCAATTTTAAAGCGTTTATTTCTTCTTCCATAGCTTTCCTCCACCCTGGATGAGAAAGTGCCTCCCTGTAGGACTTAGGAAGAGTAATAGAGGATAATGACAAAGAAAAAGCTTCAAAAGGAGGAGGACAATTTATTATACGATACAAAATTGGAGATAGGGTGATTAGTACAAGACCGTTTACCTTTCCGAACATCAATAGGTTGATTAAGATCAGAGTCCGGAGAGATGGAAGAATCTCCAAGCGTTGAAGCGACTAGTGGAAGTAACAAGGCTGGGTTTACTACTTCAGTCGTTGGAACATGATTAGCTACTCTTTCCTGGCGACGAGTATAAACATGAAGAGCTGGTGGGATGTCAGAATCAAAAATTGGAGTTGGAAGAACAAATTCTTGAAGAATAGAGTCCCCCAGGCGACTACCGTCTTGAGAATAATAAGGAACATCCTCAAAGAAAGTATCATCTGCACACACAAAATGTTTACGAAGAGTTGGATTGTAACATTTATATCCCTTTTGAGTGCGAGAATAACCTAAGAAAATACATTTGTGAGCACAAGGATCAAGTTTGTCTCGTCTCGGGCTTAGATTATGAACAAAACAGACACACCCAAACACCTTTGAAGGAATGGAAGAAGGAATTTTGTCAGAAAACATCATTTGGAAGGGTGATTTTCCTTGAAGGACCCTAGAAGGCATGCGGTTTAAAAGATAAGCAGCAACCAAAACTGCATCTACCCAAAAATGTTTTGGAACATGCATTTGAATTGTTAAGGCACGAGTAATAGCTAGGAGTGGGCCATTCTTCCTTTCAGCAACTCCATTTTGTTGAGGGGTATCAACACAAGATGTTTGATAGATAATGCCCCTCGACTCAAGAAACTTTGGAAAAACATTAAGTTTATATTCAAGGGCATTGTCTGTTCTAAGAACAAGTAATTTTGCATCAAACTGATTTTGAATTTCAGCATAAAAGGATCGAAAAACAGAGAATACTTGAGATCTATCTTTAAGAATATAAACCCAAGTTAAACGTGAATAATCATCAGTAAATAACACAAAATAACGAGCACCAAATAAACCAGTAGTACGAGCTGGTCCCCAAACATCCGAATGTACTAACTCAAAAGGTTTTAAACTTTTATCAAAACGAGACTTAAAAGTAGCCTGACGATGTTTACTAAGTTTGCAAGTAGTACAATTAAACTTAGAAAAATCACCTAAAGAAGGGACTAAGGCTCAAAGACTATTGAAAGAGGGATGTCTAAGGCGGCAATGCCACTAATAAGCTGAAGAAGAGGTGGAATGTAGGGCTGTCGGAATAGTAGTTGGCTGGAAGTAGTAAAGACCATCCTTCTCAAACCCCCCACCAATCGTCTTCTTTATTTTGAGATCTTGAAAGACACAACGGGAAGGAGAAAAAGTAACTGAGCAATTTAAATCTGATATGATTTTGTGAACTAACAATAAATTGAATGAAAATTGAGGAATATATAAAACTGATGAAAAAGTGAAACCCAAAGTGCGGAAGGTACCAATTCCATGAACAGGTGATTTGGCACCATTCGCTATAGTAACAACCGATGGTTAGAAAACATGAGAAATATCATAAAGAAGAGACGGGTTACCGGTCATGTGATCGGATGCCCCTGAATCAATGATCCAAGGTGTAGAAGATGAAGCATGGAGACATGTGTTACCTGAAGTAACGATAGTAGCGGTGGAGGAGTGCTGATTTGCATGCTCACGCTTTACCAGTTTTGTGCTGGTGATTGACCCAAGAAGATGGTAATCATTAGCATCCATCACAAGAGTTGTCGAACAAATGAGATATAATAGCAAGAGGGAGCCGAGATAAGAGAACCAAGATCTAACTGAGATGAACCCGAGAGAAATTATCGAGGAGAAAACTGAGGAGGGATCCGAGAGAGATTGCTCATGTTGGTACATGGAGATTTTAACCCAAGTGTCCAACTTCAAACTAAGTACGAAATTGTTGAAAGTCCAAAACGAGTTGCAAAGATCCGAGACGAGTTGATTCGTAGATCGGAGTTTGAAAAAAAAATAAAAAATTTAAAGAGGGATCGAATTCCGCTCTGATACCATGTTGAAAGAGAGAGAGAAACAGAATATATGAAAACTTATATGTTATTGAGTGAGTAATACAATAATACAATGGTGTTTATATAGGAGAAGCTACGGGAGTAAGTGAGTGGAGAACAAGTAAATCCTATTACATGGTAATTCTCTATATGGTAACGAGGGGTAGGTGACAACTCATACAATACTGTACAACAGTGTTCAAGTGATGAATCCCAGAATGCACTAAATTAAACAATGATATGTAAATGCCTGTGTGCATAGCAATACAAACACAAATATTTAACCTGATACAATATCTAAATATTAGGAGCTGGCAAATCGTGTGTGTCCGTAGGCAATAGTGTTTAGAAAGTATGATCAAGTCAAACTTGAATGGGCTGAAGATAACGTACCTTGTCCATTTGTTATTCCATGTAAGAAAGACGAATGGTTTGTTTGCTCTCACTGTAGTGATGATAGTGCCAAAGGCGAAGCATCAGTTGGTAAGTGAAATACAAATGCGCAAATAAAGTACCCAGATGATGTATCTCAGACAACTGGAAAATGTAAATGAAAAAGAAAGATTAGCATGAAATTAAGTACTTAAAATGAGCCTCTTTCTTTATCTATCACATTAAGATTAACAATTGTTTTTTTTACCCTATCAAATTAAGGAAGTCTCCACAAAGGGGTAGATGCAATAAAGGTGCCTAACCTAGAAAAAGAGAAATAACAAGGCTTCAACAAAGGGAGGAAAAAGAAAACAAGGTGCAAAGATTCATGCATGACCATCCATACAGAATGGGTGTGGTTGAGCAACAAAACTAGGAGACGAATTTAAAAAAAAAAAAATTATAGGAAAGAAGACCAGAATGATATTGACTTCAGAAACAAAATACCTGAGATTCACTGAACAAGGCAACAAATCTTCAACAGAAACAACATGGTGAGCAAGGACTTCATGGTTCATGTGACTTTGAGTTTCAAAACAATCTGCCTAGGACATTGCTTCAATGGGAAGAATGCTTGCAGTGGCCACTCAAATAATAACTTCACAGGTAAGTAAATGTACAAGTGAAACAATGACTCACACATCAAGTTATAGAAAAGGAAGACATAAGGTACAGAGACTGTGAGCCCAAAGATGCAAAGGAGAGAACACACTTGACACTTGCAAAGTATATTCACCAAACAATAATTGTACTTCTGAGAACACATTTACATGACAAGGAAAGGAAAAAAATAGTAAAACCATTGTTGGTTATTAAACAGCAGAAACTAGAAAAGTAAATTTAAGAGCAAAAAACATTGGTTTATCATAAAGTTGTTTAAAGAAATATACCATTAACAGATGTTCTCGAGGGAAAAATCAATAAATTAATAATCAACGTCCAAATGAAGTTCTATGTTACACAAATTATAAATTACATTGTCACATACTTAACCAAGAATTACAAGTTTCAGGGACTTCAATCCCATGATGCTACCAGTAGGATGGAGTGGCACATACAATTATTAATTGTTTTATGATTTATCCACCCAACAATAGCTGATGCTGCAGTGACTCCCACAAATCCAGGGCTGCATGTGACCATATGTAGCAGAGAATTCTGCTTCGTGTTATTGCTTAACTTCAAATCAGTAAGGTTTGATTTGTTTGTTCTCTCTTTTAAGTTGAACTTTCAACTTCTTACCCCCTAACTGGTGGCCATTCATCATATTAATTGCAGATTGAGCAGCGGCTGGTGAGTCAAAACTGACAAATCCTGCCAACAAAAGCTGATTAGAGGGAAACATTTTGACAATATTTACTTCAGATTTTAGAAAGAGAAAAAGAAGAAGAGATGTCTATACCAAAGCATTTGCTAACACCAGTTGCTTTGTCAATGAAGACCTTGGCACTCAAGACCCTACCAAATTCATGAAAGGCGCTTGCAAGCTCTTGATCACCAAAGTCTTGAGGAATGTGGTATATAAATAAATTCGCACCAGATGGACCTTAGTTCAAAGCAATTGTTAACAAATAAGGTAACCACGACAAAGACCTTATGTGAAAGATAACATGAATAAGAAATATAAATTAAAAACTCAATACAAACTTCAGCAACCTTCAATTTGACCCCCAGGACTCCCACCGTCACTTGAAGATGCTGCAGAGTGACTGTTTATACTTGCAGGTTGAACAGAAACAGGGGAACCACTCAAAGGCCTGTTACTCAACATACCCCCAGGGTATGCCATAGAATACTGAAGCCCAGTCACTGGATAAGCAGAGCCAGCATAAGTCATAGGCGGTGTAGCATAGTTTCTTGGGGCCATACCAGGAACAAGATCAGGTGCAACTCCATGCAACAGATTTCCTTGGTTTACCTGTGGAATTATATTACGGAAAGCAGGTTGATTCTGCAATTGCGGCAGGCGATACTGCATGAGTCCATAAGTTCCAGAAGTCTGCAAAAAAAAAAAAACTGTACATCAATCAAACTGGACTGTCAATACTGAATAACAGTAGCAAAACAAGATGCAGGGCTACAAAAGCAAACAATCAACATGGGTGAAATTTTTATAGATGAGGACAAGATAAAATGTTGTTGGAGTACCTTCAGACACAGGAACATCACTGTGCCTCCAACACAATATCCATTGCAGGAAATAAAGCAACTTTAAATTAATAAATGAGGGAAAAAAACCTGATAACCGTATCCATTATATGGGGGAATATAACCCATTGGCAAGGCTCCAACTAAAGATGGATGTTGTGTATAGTCAACATTTGGCCCATTAGAAGCCTGAGATTGAGCTTTCTGAGCCTTCCGAGCTTGCCTTTCTTTTTCTGTATCTGCCCATTTGACAACTAAAGGAATACTTGAACCCTAATATAGAAAAAGATAATAAAATACAGAAAAAGTGTTCCTTCAAGTCAGAAAATTATCCACCAACAGAAAACGTGTTGAAGATGAATTGTTCACCAAGAGAAAGATTAAAGCATACCTCCATTTTATGCTTCCCACTAAGGGCTTCAATAGCTGCAAGAGCTTGTTCTTTTGTCTCATACTTCAAAAAAGCACAGCCTACCATTATTTAAAATACTTAGAACAACCAACAAAGTTCTCAGGATTAAGTCATGCTCAAATTTTCAGCAGTTTGGTTGAAATGAAACCACAAAATAAGTCAGGACTAAAATGCACCTTTGCTTGTTTGCTGAGATCCTCTAAGAATTTGCAAGTCTGTTATAGTTCCATATTGAGAAAATAGCGCAGATACTTCAGCATCGGAAACATTCTTTGGAAGCATACCAACAAAAACTTTGTGCTCTGTGAACAGCATAAATAACAATCAAAAGTTAATTATCAAATTGAATGAAGCTACAACATAAGATGGCATAGAGCGGGTAATTCAGCATTAAATGGAGAACAAGAACTTGCACCACCAAGATTTATGGGAACCATTCTAACAACAGAATATACAATAAAACAATGAAAATCATATTACACCTAGCCTTTCCACTTCGCCATCTGCATACTTCACTTGCAACGGACTAGATGCCTGAATTGGACAGAGAGAACAGGATTCCTTTAAATCAGAAAGAGAAAAATGCATCACACTGAAACAGAAGCATAGAAGATGTATATAAAGTTTAACTTTTTTTCCAAACAAAATATGTTCTTAAGTATCTCTAAATACTATGACTATATTTATATTTCTTTAAATTTATATACCTGTACCAAATTATGAGATTTAGATCAATTGAAGAATTACAAGCAACTATCTGGCCTACGCTAAAGCCAGACTGATAGCTTACCAGGCGAATGCCTGGATCCCAAGGGAGGCAAACTCAGGGCAGACCTGGATTTATACTACTTTGACATGGTAAGATGTTTAGTCACCAAAGAATTCATAAAACTGAAATAGTCAACATGATACTAACCAATCAATTGTTCAGCTTCCCCAACAACCAAACACAATTTAGAGAGCATTGCATTGCATGTGATTTAGGTTGTCAATCTTCATACACAACAATGTGATTTGGACCTGTCACTACGTGTTTTGGTGATCCGTGGTTGACCAACATCATTCACTTGGGGTCTTTTTCTGAATCATTTTGTTTACATCAGCATGCTAAGTATTATTTATTTTATTTTCTATTTTTCTTTTTAATGAGCACCAAGGGGATTTTTTAGATCATAATCTAATCCAATAATAATTGTTTTGGGTAAAATAGCTTATCTATTTGGCATGGCTTTGGTCAATTTCTCATTGAATCACCATTATCACCCTTTGCTTAAATAATCCACAAGTGATTGTCATAATCTGAAATTTGATTCTATGTTCACAATTAACACATAAATGCCAATACAAACTACTTATTACGTGTGTCATCAAACTCTTATCAATTACTTGCTAATCTTTCCTCCATTACCTTCCAATTTGCAGATGCCAATTGATATATTACTTCATTACTAACATTTTTACATATTTCCAGAACAAACTTGGCAGCTTATGCAAAATCCTATGCTCCCTTTACTACACAGTTTGGGAACCAGAAGGGCAGGACAAAAAGATGGAAAATGTATTTCTAGAGATAGGAAGTTATCCTTCCATCCTATCAATTTGGTGGAACAAGAAGGAACAAAGAAAATAAAAGATGTTGCTTGATTTTACAATTATGACCTTCCATATGGAGGAAGGATGCCCTTTAAAGTGCAAGCACACACAAGAAAGGAGGGGGGTTGAGAATTGTAAAGCCCCTTCCCACCACCTTTCAACCCACTAATAAGTGGAAAGGATTTGGTTTGTCTGACGTGAAATAGTAGATGTATTCCTTTATTAATTACTTGAACACTACTAAGATGAAATTTTTTAACTTCATATATAACCAAGAACTTTTAGTAAAAATAAAGGAAGAAAAATAATTATTGTCCAAGTCATGAAAAATAATTATTTGTAGTCCTTAATTAATTACTGGACTAGTAGTGGCTATAACTAGCATCAGAGGAAATAAGAATAAGGTTTGAGAATGGAAGCTTGTTCTGATGGCTTTTGACAGAATGAAAGGCCTCATATATATATAGACACACACACATGAGGGCGTCGCCTGGTCTTTAATGGCCCATTCAAATTGAGACGGCGTCTAATAGTAAGTAAGAATTTAATGGTCAAAAGAATGAGATTTACGAGTCTAGACTTTAAATCAGCTGACTCAACAGTTGAAAGTTGAAACTGATTCTTCAGACTTTATCTCTGTCAATCCATTGGTTCAAAAAATTAAGTGGCTTTAAGAAGTAAACCAAATGGTCTATGTAGCTACCACTAAATTCTCTAGATTTCAGTTTGGAAAAATTAAAATTTCTGTAAAACTGAGCCACACGCACATGTGACATGTCTAGCCCAATCAATGGGGCACACATGTGTCTGTGTCGTAGTTTTGTTGCTAGCCCAACCAAAGCATGTTATCCCTCTAATGAACTTTATAAGTTCTTGTAACTTAAAAATTCCAATTTGTAATCTGAGCAAGATGACATATTCAAGATTTTAAAATTAATCCTTCATTGAAACAACTTATAAAGTTCATAATGAATTACAGATGGTGATTTAAGAAACCGACATTGTGCATTGAAATTGTTAAAGGGGACATCTGAAAAATAATAAGATGGAGCACAAATTTGGGATAAAGGGGGTATACTTTAACTGGTATATATCACTTCCAAGTTCCAAAAATAAAGTGTACATGTCTGCAATTATTTCCCCTCATCCCCATAAGAACCAAAATCCCTAATCTCAACCCATCAATTTTAGATGTCATCTTAGCAATTGCCATTGTGCTACAATGTTTTGGCTAAAATTACTCTCACTACTTATAAAGTTCATAATCAATTATAGATGGTAATTTAAGAAACTGACTACCATTGTGCATGGATTTTTTTAAAGGGAATATCTAAAAAAGGAAAAAAAAGAAAATTAAAGAAAAGTTGACAACTAGTTTGAGACAGATGGAGTACGCTTTAACTAGTATATATCACTTCCAAGTTCCAAAAATAAAGTGTAAATGTTTCTAATTATTGTTTCCCCTCATCTTCTCTATAGATGCGGGATACCCAACCAAGAAATAGTTAATAAATTTGAGTGTTACAACTGACGTTTACATAGCCATTCCGGTGGACCGATAACAGTCCAACTCAATAATATTCAGCGCGTTCATTCTTCTTTTTATCAATTCAGATCCTAATTAAGAACACACACCCAAAAAAAAAACACTATTTACCCCAGGAAGAGTCCTCTTATTATGACATTCATTCACTGTCTTGTCTGCTTCTTGCCTTGACGGACATATGAGAAAACAACACCCTGAAAAGAAGGCAAAAAAAATGATAACAGAAACTAATTAGGGTTTCATACATTCAATTACTTCAAACCATACAAACCGTTAAAGAAAATTCAATAAACCACTCAGAATCGCACATTGAGATCCAAAAAACCAAATAGTTGAAAATGTGAAAGACAATTGATAACGAGAAAGAAATATTTGAAGAGTATGGGTGAGTAAGACCTCGTGAAGCGCGGGTAGTCTTGTCTTTGATAATGTTGACTTCATCGACGAGAGCGAACTCTTTGAACATTGCGAGAAGTTGTTCTTCAGTCATGTGTTTTGGCACTTGACCTACGAACAGCTTCACGCTATCTTCGCTGTGTTCTCGCGATCCTTGCTCTTCCACCATTAATGCCGACTGTTGGAGAGTCTTCGCCAGCAAAACTCCGTTCTGATCTCTCTTGTTTCTCTCTCTACATTCTCTAACAAAATTTTCTCTCTCCAAGTTTTCTCTCTCTACTTTCTCTCCCCAAAATTTCTCTCTCTTGTTCTCCACGTTTGAGTCTTCGGTCGTTGAAAGAGACCCGTTTTGGGAGGATGAAGTTGGATGGCGAAGTTGATTTATATAATTGAAATTATTTATAAATAGCCTTGTAGTTGTATTTTTATTACTTATTGATAGTTTGTTTTTTTTTTTTTTAATTATTTACAAATAATTTAAAAGTAACCGTTTGGACATTTCGGGAGTTTTCATGAGACGTTGAGACACTCAGACACGGCAAAAGGAATTACATGGAATGCTCTTTGACATGCAAGGGAAATTACGAAGAATCATCCTCTTCCACTATAAAGGCCCCCATGTACAGTTTTCTTTTATCAATACATTGCTTAACCTTTCAAAAAAAAAAAAATGTCAAGAGAGTTTCTTTATTATTTTTTTTAACTTATTGAAAAAAGAGAAGAGGTTATGGCACATTTTTTTTTTTTTTTTCACAAATAGACTAAAATCAAATCAAAAAAAGGGAAAAAAATTATTTTAATTTTGTTTAGTTGATTATTTAAAATTTTTTTCTTTGAAAAAATCAGTAAAATGGCAAGCAAAGTGACCCCTGTTGTTTTTTGTTTTTGAGACGACTTTTCTTCCAACAATACGAAACTTCTTTGGATTGTGAATTTCATTCTGAAAGGGTAATATGGTAGTTAAGCGTGGAAAGCGAGGGCAACCTGATAGGCATGACAGACTGTCCCGCCAAAGCTCCTCCAATGAAATGAAGCTGTTCCTTCAAATTTCAATTTGTGAATTCCAAAATCCAAATCACATTGATGATTGAACAATCAACTATCAAAAAACGAGCGAAACACTGAATCCCAATCTCTAACTCGAAAAAGATAAGTACGGATGTAACAACCAATTCACCGACAGTCACAATGAGGATGGTCAAAACAGACAAACCGCCACTTCTCCACTACTGTCCTGAGATCTAGCTCTTTCTTTCCGGTACAAAACAGACAAGTGTCCGCCAATAAGCACTAGCTCTCGTATATGCTTTCCTCTCAGATATATACATATACATACATAGTCAATGCATGAGTCCATATTATATATATATTTGGATGATTGTTAAAAAATTATATATATTTCAACATTAAAAAAATATTAAATATATAAAATAAAAAAAAAAAAAAATTGTTTAATTTAGTCATCTCGTCTCTCATACTCAAAAGAACACACACACGTCCAAGTAACTTCCTAAACCTTCAATCAGTAAAAGTACAAATCAAAAAGAGACTCCAAAGTCATTCGGGTTTCAATCTCAAGATCGTTTCTTAGTAGCTTCCAATTCAACAGAAACAAGTCAACAATAGCAATTTCTTGAACAATGGCATACAACATACATATATAGTAACATCAATGCAGACAAAAATGGGAACTTGCGCAGTCTTTACTTAAAAACAAAGTAATATATATCATTCAATTCTTTGATGTGGTCACACAATTATGACGACAACATGAGAAAATTTTTACTAGAAAAAAATACATTATTGCAAAACAATAAATGGACCCATTAAAGGACGGGTGTTAAGTTTAACCCATTCCAACTACTCCGTACAACCTAAACAAATTAATTCCACTCCATTTTCCGAAACAGTAGACAAAAAAAACTCATATCAGTTATTCCAAACAGCCTTGCCAGCGAGATTGGCAGCTGTTTGGCAAAAATAATTGTGTGTAACTGCGAACAGAGAATTCCAGGACTAAATTGCCTTCAATCCAGCAAGCTCCCGTAGCTTCTCACAGAGTATAAAGGTAATCATAGTCTGTGGACCTAGTCTTGCAAAGATTGCAAGGCCCCTGAAAATTTTATAAGTTAACATCCTGAAATCTTCACAAACAAAAAATACAGAATCCTCAACAATTTGAGTCAATCAAACTATTTTTTTTTTTTTTTTTACTCTACTTGAAAACAAACGGAAGGACTATCTAGTTAAGAAGAAGAGACAAACTCTCACCCTTTGTAAAGTCCCCTGGGACCTTCTGAAAGCATAACCTGAATTCATACACAAATTTAATTCAGGCTGTGAACCTTTATTGAAAACAGTAATACTAATTAATACGAATTCATAGAGTTCATCAGGTGCAACATATAGGTCTGTCCTTAAAATCAATTCCAATTAAGGGGGATAAAATCATATCCTACCGATGATGGTAACCAAAGTAGCAATGACGTAAACAATGATGGTTAAATAATAAACAAGTAGAATAACCTAGTTTAACAAAAAAAAAAAAAGTAGACAAAAGCGAAGAATATGTTATAAACAAGAAAGTAAAAGCAAACAATAAGTCGAAACAAGGAACTAGAGAAAAATAACGTCACCTGGTATGCGCAATGAAACCCATTTTTATAAGTTCCAGCTGTTTTAGATTCTCGTTGCAACATGAGACGGGTTTTAATCATGTCCATTGGTGCAGTAATGAGGGTGCTCACTGTGCCTGCTACTGTACTTGAGCTTCAGTAGGTGCAAACTCCAGTTAGATATCAGATGGAAGGAAGAATCTTGGCATTGTTATAGAAAAAAATAAATTAAGACACCAACACGTGCATGTCAAACTGGTGATTCAAATCCCATTTCATAGACCATAAATATTATGCTAGTGATGTTTTTCCAGTATCTCGCGTCAACACGATATACCTACTTGGTTTAGGTGGTTATGTTAACATAATAAACCTGTTGAATCAATGTTTTCCCCCCAGTGATGGTGAATTAAACTCAAGTTTTTAGATTGATTTTCCTCTAGCTGGAATAGTAGAATAACTAGCATGCAGTTTCAAGAGATAATTAATATGGGCATTGGTTGACAATTTTAGATGCATATATTGAACACAACTAAGAAAGAGAAAATAGATTAGAAACCTAAGACTTAGTTGAAGGAATTTAAAGGGAAGAAAGTATTATCACTTAAGAATAAAATACTAAAAGAGTAAAGAATGAAGGTTTGAAAGTTAATGTCATGAGTAAGGGGAGAGAGAGTAGTAAAAAAATTAAAAAAAAAATAATGAAAGAAAGAAGAAGTTAGAGAAGTAGTAAAAACGTTATAACTAGAGCATAACGAACGATAGAGAGAAATATGTATAAACTTGGCAAGTTAAGAGAGAAAGACCCAAAATTTTAATAATATTAGATGTATCAAGACTAGAGATGTAAGGGTCTTGACGAAGATAGTGGAATTAGCGATAAAAAAAATATATGGACAGGTTGTTTAATGAAAATCATATAGTATGCTTACAGTATAAAAAATAAATTAAATAAATAAAAAATTCTAACTAAGAAACCACATTGGAGTAATACTAGGGGAAGAGGAATACCAGCTTTAGTAAGGAAGAAAATATAGGATAACATATGGTTTAATTGAGGCCATGGCCCCCAAGTATTTGAGAAAAAGGCTTTGGTGGTTGTTGTCATCGAACATTGTAAATAAGAAAATTAGCATATATATATATATATATATTGCATGATTGGGATAGGTGAGGTAAAAAGTGCATTGAGGATGATGAAATGAGAATATTTTAGGACTATTGAGACTTGAAAGTGTTTAAGACTATTCTACAACCTATATATGAAAATAAACAAACATCCAAAGCTAAAGAACTGTTATGATAATAAGGTAAAGTTATAGAGAAAATATTGAAAAGGAAGATGATGTTGTTCATAGAATAATAACAAGATGGATTAAGTAGGTGAGTGCTTTTGGCATATTGTGTGATTGACCTCTAAAAATAAAAAGAAATTTTATTATAGAACTGTTAGATCAACTATATTTTTTATGGGATTGAATGTTGTGGGATTAAAAGCTGGTGATTGCTCCATAATGCAAATACTGAAATAGACGTGTGGCAAAAATAGAAATGCTACAATTATAAATGTGTACATTCAGGATATGATGGAAGTAAAGCCATTAAAGGAAGGAAAAAAAAAAAGACATAAACTGATAAAATGGTATTGCCATGTGTAAACAAATAACAAAAAAGCATTCATGAGGAAGAGTTGATGTGGTCCAAAATGAGAATAATGTTAGGGAATGAAAAGATCCAAGTTAACATGAGAATGAGATAGTGTGAAAAACTATAATAGTGTATAATTAATAAAATTAATGGCCTTAGATAAAGTATTATAATAAAACAAGATTCATATCCCAACCCAAATAGTTGGAATGAAGTCTTTGGTTGAGTTGAGAATGGCATGGGTTTCAAACACCAATAATAGTGGAGGAATGAGTCGAATGACATGGGTTTCAAATATCAATAAGCTCACTAAAACTGGGTAAAAAAACAAAAGAAAAGGACAGTTATGAGCCATGCATACATGAGATGAAGATAAAAACCTTCTTCAAGAGGCGTCCACTTTACCAAACCCTGCAATAGTGCAGAATGAAATGAAAATTAATATAACAGATACGAAGTAAAGAACTTGACCCATTTTATACTACAAAATAATGTTAAACTATTCAGAAACTTTGGAAATTACTTCGAGACATTCAAAGTGAAAATTAGCATGCTTAGAACTTGACCCGCTTGAATTCATCATATGTTGCCAGCTGCGATGCAGTCAAAGCAGCAGCTCTGGCCATAGCAGGGCCAACCCCCTTCCAAAGAGCCATTATTCCCTCTTCTGAAGCAATTTTGCAGATTTCTCCGACTGCTCCTCTTCTTATGTTTGGATTCATCTGTATTCGTACCTTAAGAAACAAAAAGCAAAAATGAAAGACAAGGTCTAACAAGTTTGAAAAAGTCTCTATATTGTAATACCTTTAAAACTTCCACTGGGTTGGTCAAAGCAGTTGAAATGGCGCCAGAGAATGCTCCAGATGCAATCTTAACCAAGACATTGGTGGACTCAAAAGCCAATTCACAGGCATACTTTGATGGCTCGTACAAGCCTAAACGAAGGCCTCCATAAAGAACTGACCTCATCAATGCAGGCGTGAATCCAAGATACAAGGACCTAGGCCCCTCATTTTTTACAAGTTGAACAAACAGTCGACCCTGTACACATCCATGTATGATAAAACCTAGATGTAAGTTAATCAAGCAAAGCAGATTACCATTAATAATGAAACTGATTAATTTCATACCATTCCAGTTAAGGGACCTCTCTGGCCAACAAGTTGCATTTGCAGCCGAACTTTGAGGACATCTACAAATAAACGGGAAATAATTAAATACTCTACGTCAACGCAATATAAAAATTTTACTACATAATTTATTTTCATTCTTAATTTCGTTCCTCAGTCTTCCTTTTGGGAAGGTAAAAAAGGCTTAATTGTAGGCCAGTTTCATTCAACTGATATCTAAAACATGTTATGAAGCCATATCTCTTTTTTATTGCTTTGAATTCCATTCCATTTTTTATTTTAAATTTTCAAACCATCAACTTTATCAGCTTTCAAAATTCGACTAAAACACTCATCACAAAAACAGTACCATGACTTGATCTCATCACAGAGACCCCAAAGACCAATCTGTTTTGGCCAAGTCATCTGAGTCTTTGGTCAAGTCTTTGAGCACTGATCTTGCTAAAAGCAACTATCCTAAAAGAGGTTGGGAGAGCTTTTAATTGTTTTCAGGACAATTCAGATTTTTAAGTGACAACATCACTTGCCCCACAAGGCTTACACAGGTGGCTTCACAAGCTTTCAGTGGCAGCACAATCAATTAGTGCCTTAGTTTGCTTGCTTTAGGCTTTTATATAAGGATCTACTCATCTAAGCTTTCAGATTGGTTCAGTGGCATTCTTTTTTGTCATGTTGGGGGCTAAAGACACTGTTACATAATATGGATTCAATTTCTACCTACCGCATGTGATGTATGACTTAAGAAGGGCCCAAAAGGGGCATATTGCATTTACAGTTAGCCATTGATATGAAGCAAGAATTAAAGAAAGAAGCTCAAGAAAAAGGGGTTCTCAAATATGAAACCAGAGGAAAGAGAATAACCTAGTGGATGAGTGATGGCAGTAGCGGCTGCAACAGAAATTCCACTGGTACCAAAGTGATAAACCACCTTGGATGGAGAAACTGTGTAATTCTGATTCTCAATGACTTTCACAGATCCTGAATTATTCAATTTACGCATATAGAAAAAAATTCGCACATCAGAACCAAAGAAGGGAAAACAAGATGTGTTAATCTAAGACAAACATATAATGTTAATAATAGAAAAGAGACGAGAAAATAAAACATGAAATCAAGGCTCTGTTTTTGGCAGAAAATATTTCCATGAAAGACATTTTCCCGAGAAAAATTATATACATTGGCAGGCGTCTAGAGATGGTGTATCCTGAACTGAAGCAAATAAATAATTTCTTTATTTTCAAGAAAGGAACAATTTACATAAAGCTAAACGATTTCAAAAATGCGACCAATTTATCAGATAAAGAACAGATCTGTTTATTTTGAAGGAAGGAACTAAAATTCAACCTGAAGGCGAAAGATGGAGAAAACCTGAAGGCGAATGCTCCCTGGAAGATGATTTGCCATTCATTTTTTGCAGTCGTCAGTTGCATAACAGAAAGATGTTTGTTTGATTAAGTAAGCTCTTTCTCCTCCCTCTAAACGGAGTAAACAGAAGCTGGCGACTGTAGGACCCATTGGCCATGGCTAGGCTACTTAAGTAGAAAATTTCCATTTTCCCCAATTCAGTTTGGACTTGGAAGATCTATTTCCCTAATTATAATTTATGAAATCCCAAGTTTGACTAATTTTGGTAAAAACTATAGTCTATTTCCCTAATTACATCCTCTTCAAGAGAGCAAAACTATTAATAAATCTCTCTTGATACTTTTCAAGTTTTTGACAACTAGTTTAGACTTTTCCTGTTCAGACTTTTTCTTATTCGTGTCATTGGCCCATTTTAGGTTTCTTTCTTTTCTTTTCTTTTTTTTAAAAGTTTTTTCGTTCATGATGTGACCAGCTTCTTTTATGTTTTATATAGTATTGACATCATATATTATAGACCTATTTATTTCTAATAAAAATTATATTAATTTCTTGAAATATAAAAATTAGCATTCTAAATAATGTAAATTGAAAATGATTTTTTCTTTCTTTTTTCCATAAGATTTTTTTCCCTTTCCCCTTTCTTATCATGTCAAACAATTTCACAAGAGGTTTTTTTTTTTAAGCTCACTTTTACTCATCGACTTTCTTGGTTCTAGAAACCTAATTTTGGGAATTTAGAAAGTGATTTATTTATATTTTAATTATATTATTTTATGTAACACACTTTGAAAAGAATCATTTGAGTTATCTTGTGACCGGTTCTACTGGGTTGTCTTTTCTTACATTTTTTTTATTTTATTTTATTTTTTTTCTAAGGTGAAGAAAAGAGTATGTTGGTGGATTTTTGCTTTGTTGTCCCTCTAATTTAGGAAACAGCAATCTACTCCCTCCAACAGTTTAATTTTAATTTTATTGTTGAAAAAAAAAAAAAAAAAAAAAAAAAAAAAAAACCTCCACAATCATTTTGTCTAAGAAAAATTTCAACCCTCACCTTTCAAAATTCAACATTAACTTATTATTTTACTTTTATCCATATACACATTAACTTATTAATTAATTTTTATAATGACAACCAAAATTGTGAAAAAGAATGAATATATTTTCTCATGAAATATTTATTTGAGAAAAAATTTATTTAACATACATATATGAATTTGTTTGACATACAAGTTATTCAAAGGAACATGGTAGAACAGGTCACAAGGTAAGTCAAAAGACTCTTTTCAAAGTGTGTTTCATAAAATAATATAATTACAAGATAAATAAACCACTTTTTAGATCTCCAAATTGGATTTCTAAAATCAAGAAAGTCTATGAGTAAATAATTAACTTGTAATATTGGGTTCAAAACTGACCAATAAAATCACACGACTGATAGTAGCAGTCGCCCTAGCCGACTGTTGCTAGCAAACCTTATTTCATAATTCCTACAATTCTCTCGCAAGGAATCAAACTCGTTACCTTTCAATTTAAAAGAGAAGTAGATATCTCATACCTTTGTTAACAAAATGTTTTTAATTAAAATATATATATTATTCATGCGTAGTCCCGTATCATATTTGAATGAATCAAGTTTAAAAAAGAGTAATACAAAAAACCTGTTTCCGCTGCTCAACTGATTTAGGACACAAAAACACCGTGATCTCGAGCATATTCGTGACCTATCCAATTTTTAATCTAATCTGGAGTAATTTAATTTATTTTACTTTTATATAAGGATTATTATTATTTATTATTATTATTATTATTATTTTAACTTATCAAATTCAAAATGAACAAATTTACGTGAGCTCATGCTCTCAACATTCGCGACCGAGCCATGTCCTCAACAATACTCCCAAAATGCACACCACATATGCATATAAGACCATAGGAGAAAGAAATACTAGCATGTAAGTAACAAAATGTTTTTAATTAAAATATATATATTATTCATGCGTTCTCCCATATCATATCTGAACCCATCAACTTTGAAAAAGAGTAATATAAAAAATATGTTTCCACTGCTCAACTGATTTAAGATATAAGAATACCGTAATCTCGAGTAATTCGTAACCTACTCAATTTTTAATCTAGTTTGGGGTAATTTAATTTACTTTACTTTTATATAAGGATTTTTTTTTAACTTATCCAGTTCAAAATGAACAATTTTATGTGCTCTCAGCAAGGAAACCGCGACCGAGTCATAATCTCACACAATACTCCCAAAATGCAGTGCACATATGCATATAAGACCATAAGAGAGAGCCCCCGCGGACTAGCAGTGATGGTGGGACTTGGGCCTGGCACACACAAGGCCAGTGTTTGAGTCCTCTACCAAACCTTTTAGTTTCGTCGACTCACCCGGTGTATGGTAAGGGTTGCCCTACACCCCCAAGTTTGTAGCCCATGGTGGGGCCCTACGTGGGGGAGTTCCTGGTGCCAACTAAAAAAAAAAAAAAAAAAAGACCATAAGAGAGAGAAATACTAGCATGTAAGAGAAACTGACTGCTTTACCACTGGCACAAACTTGTGCTAGTGTGACCTAATTAATAGTTGGACCTCCCATTCCATGGATATCAAATGTCATGCTGAGCAAGAGCTCACCCATGGATGCTAAAACATAACCTTTCAAAATCCAGTAGAAAACTGCCAATTACAACCCCACAACTTAAAATTTTGGTATTTAAGAGAGACAGATCACCCCATGAAATTAGTCTATGTTACTGCTTAACTAAAACTACCGCTTCTCACACACACACACCCTCCCCTAAAGTGCGACCTCTACAGCAATAAAATTATATTCACTGACCTATTGGTCCTAAAGGCAATCAATAGTTCACTGTCAAAATCTTCAAAGTCATGAAGGGTGAAAATTTTAGAAGGACATATTAATTTTTGTATTGTCTTTGTACAAGAATCAGCCCTGCCAAAAAAACAAAAAAACAAAAGGAAAAATCAAAAAAGAAATCTGCAGATACCACCGGGAATGCGGCAACAAAAAGGAAAACTATCTGCATCTTGCTACAGGGAGAAACTGAAACCATCTTTCCTCGGGTGTATGTTAAGAGCATTTCTTCTTGACATGATCTGTGAAGAGGTGATGTCTGTCATTGAGAAACACAAAAATATTCAGTTTATCCAAAGTAAAATGACTTTAATAAGTTAAATATTATAAATAGGTGAAATGGCATGTAATAAAAGAGATTGAAGAGAGAATTCATATGGTTGACCCCATTCATATTGGATTAAAAGGTAAGGATGATAATGATAAGTTGATACAGTAATCTTTCCAAAAAAGCACATGACCCACTAGCTATATTAATATTCAGTTTATCCCAAGTATTAGAGCTTGTGTATCAGGTTCAAATAGCCAGATACATAAGGTCACTTATAATACTAAAAAAATTATGGGCAAAAATTTGATTTAATCGTAGAAACTCGGACTCAGCATCATGTTGGCTCTCTAAATAATTCCTTTTTGCAATTTTTCTTCAGTTGAAGTAGGCTATATGAATAATCAATTATCCAGATGCTTCGGTCGCACAACAACAAAATAAAGGTTGAGCAGTCTCTAAAGTGAATGGTTATCTTTCCAGGTCAATTTCTCAGTGGACCTGGATGAGGCCAACAAGAAAAATCTGCTCCCAATTGGTATAGAATTGATTTGCTTTTAAACCATATTTGTGTGGTTGGAAGTTGGTGCTATAAAGGTGTCCATCAGTCGGAGAAACACTAGAGAGAAATTAATCATTATTAAGCAATTCAAAGTAGTTCTCAGGCTTTAGAATGAAAAAACTTATTTCTTTTTTTATTATTAATTTTGCTCCTTAAAGCAGACAAAGTATGTCCAAAATGCAAATTAGACAACACTTTGATGGACACTAGCTGCTTAACATTGTGGAGCAAGTTCTTACCAAGTTCTTACCAGCTTCAGTGCGTGCAAAACAGATGGGTATGTGAAATGTTTTTAAGCACCTAAAATAATATGGCTTAGTAACATTCCAATTCTATTGCTATATAGGAGAAAACAAGACAGTAATCACTATTTCATTGCCATACTGACCTCTCAAATTCTAGTTTCTGGATCACTATACCATTTAGTAGAAGCTCTGAACTGTAAACTGCTGCTCCTGCCATAGCACAGTAAATTCCAAAATGTTGCAAGTAATCACTGGTTGTCTCAAATAAAGGAAATTTTTTTTTTTTGATAAGTCTCAAATAAAGGAAAAATGGAGGATAAATCTATACCTTTCTCAAGGAACGGCACACACATAGCATAATCTTGTTCACAAGAAAGAATTAAGAGATCATCTAGGGTCATTTCACAATCCTTCGGTGCAGCTCTCTGTATTCTATCCACTGCCTGAGGAGCATATCATTAGAAACTCATAAATTTCACTAAGGAGGTGGATGGTATATGGAACCTCATCAAATCTACCATTGGCCATTGACCTAGGTGGTATGAGCTCTCCTCCTCTTTGGAGTGGTGAGCGGTTCAAGCCTCACATCGGTGTGGCGTGCTTGAGTGTGTATTGCTTACATTTTTATTTATTTATTATTATTATTTTTAAATTAAAAAATGAACTCTCATAACTGAGACATTGTGAAGTGAAATTTAATCAAACAATGGAGTGAGAGAGTAGATGAAGATATATAATTCAATTATTGAAAATACACAGGTAATATAGAGGTACGCTTGATTCAAGATGCCATTTTGGTAGTGTAAAATTATGTCGTAAGGATGACAATATTTATATATTCCTTGTGAAAAATTGACTAAACTATGTCCGCATAGTCCGCAAATATGCAAATTGATTCCTTCTGCTTCATATAAGTTCAACACATATATATTTACAAATCCAGTTCATGACTTCAAGATGACATCTAAAATAGGTTAAATGAACTTACACCCTAGATTCAAAGACGTTGGCCGAACTACATACCTGGCCATGAACTGCCTTAACCAAGCATCCAATCAATTCTTTACCAGGTTTTACATTTGGGGTAATAAAGACTCTTCTACCCTGCTGGGACCAGCAAACACATAATTAATACTGAATCTTCAACTTAGAAGAAGCCTGCCTATTGGCACCATATGTCAATACCAATTTAAATGCATCAACTAGCATATTTGGTTTAAGTTAAACACGTAAGCTTGTACAATTACCTTCAGGAGTGGATGGTGGCTTGCACGAGCCAGTGAAATAGGCATACTAAAGCCAATCTCCTTTTCCTTTTTGGCATCCCTCAGGATGTAGTTCTTCTCATCAATTAAACAACTAGCTTGTCCACAGCTCTCAAGCCATAAATGCGTAACCACTGGTCTACCAAAAGCAATGGCTTCCAACATATTTTTTGTCCGCACAAATCTATCAGTTATGAAATGTGTAGCATCTGAACAACATGATGCAGTCGAAATGCCTAGTCGTGCCAAAATCTGAGGAAAAATCCATCAGTAGACATGTAATCTGAAACTTATCAAATTGCTGATTTTGAGCAGATAAGACAAATTCTTTAAAAAATATAACTACCTTTTTCTGCTGCTTAATTATATCATCATCCAAGTTCTGGCTGAACAAGACACGGACATTTGCCATGTTCCTTCGTCTTCTCAAATCTTTTGATGCGAAATTAGGTAGTGACTCAATCCCTAATCTAGTAAGCTCTTTCAAAAGCGGTAATCTTGAGAATTTTTTCTTGGATGGTTGCTTGTAATCCTCATCGCCCTTGAAAATGGGTGATGCCTCGTCTAACACTTCTGTAACTGGGTTAGGACAGTATGATAGAGATCTATTATCATTCTCATTTAATAAAATGTTCTTCTTAACACCATCAGCGAACGATATGGAATTCACATCATCTAGTTCGCCAGATTGCAATGAGGTCTTGGCTCTATCTGGACCCCGAGGAATTTTTTCATTATTCATGGGAGCATAATCACAATTCATAACATCTGCAGTATTTGATTCATCAAAATTCTGCCTTAAAATGCTTTCCCCACATTTCTTTTCTAATGAACACTGATGACGAGTATATACTGATGACCTTGCTTTCTTCTTCACCACTAAGGTTTCTAAGCTGAAACAAGTGGTTTTGGAGTTCCTTTCTGAATTTTTACTGCTTTCAATAGAATGGTAGTTGCTTTTTTCCCCAGAAACTGACTCTGCACACAGGCTGATTGCTCCACTTGACTGATCTGGCGGATTCCTACTTTTCCTTTTTCCTTTGGGATAGCTCCATGAATCTAATTTCAAGTGACTGGCAGTAACAGCTACATCTACATCTATTTCTGTACGCCTTTGCTGACTCACTTTACCATTTGTCGCTCCCACTGATGTATTGCAACCTAACCTGGGACATTCCTTTCTGACACCCAACACTTGGAACACATCAGCATTTAAACTGGCCCTCTTTCTTCCTTTCATAGGCACACCAACCTTGAGAACATTATTTGTCCTTTCTCCAGCACTATTTATTGGATGCTCTATCCTTTCCAATGATTTTACAGATGACCAATCCCTAGTCCGGTGAAAAATGGGTGAAAATTTTCTAAATTTCCCTCGTGAAGATCCTTTGCCAAGCAAGTTATCTTCAACTGATATTGATGAACTGATATTTTTACCAACCACTTTGATGTTGTCGCTCACCAGAGCTCCTTCTTTCTTTCCTTGGTGAATTGACTTAGATCTTCCACGCAAGCTTTTCCTCGCATTGGCTGGTTTTCTACAATTTAAGTGATTTTCAGTCAACAACTTACCCTTCTTCATTTTTCTTGCTACTGTTAACTCAGGATCAGACACTTTTAAGTTTTTTGCATGTTCTTGAATCAAACTAGAGATATTCCCATTTGATTTGTTGGCAGACCTCTTTGTTCGCGATTTTCTTGCTGTGACTCCTGAATCGGAACATATCTTAGGAAAGGAACAACAGTTTGCCGCTTTCCTCTTCGTCGCACCATTTGAAGAAAGTTTTAGTGTAATGTCTGGCTTTTGATGAGCATAATCAGCATTGCAGTTGGGACTTGGGATGGGGGCATATAATAAGGCTTCCATAGCCTCAGCAGCCAATTGAGTATTAAAACCAACATCAAATGTGTCTGGTATGTCCATTTCAGTGCCACCAATTTCCAACTGCCGCCCCGATGATTCTGCATCAAACTGCTCATTCAAATCCCTGACAAAATCCTTTTCAGGATCTATTTCAGAAGTTTGTACTGCCTCACTAATCTCTTTTGAATCACGCAGCATTAACCTTGAATCTGAATTAATTGAACCCATTTCTTTGCATTGAACATCTACATTCTCCTGTTTTTTGACATCCATATTATTCCCAGCACTCGGTGGCACGGTGACAGATCTTGACCCACGGCCTTCATAATCTAAGATCAATTCCTTTTTTTCCCCTAAAGATAATCCCTCTTTATCATTAATATAGCTGTCATCCCATTCAAATGTTCTCGACTTCCCAACTACAGCCCCAAGATTGGCTCTTCTGGCCAAAAGTTGAGGCCCCTTGGCACTTAAAACAGGAGGTGATTTCTCCCTCTTACTACTCTTAAGTGCAACTTCTTCAAACAAGTTCACATCGTTAGATGAAAGATAGTGATCCACAAAGTCAAGTGCATTGACTCGTGATGACTCGCCAGATTCTTGAGATTCAATATAGCTTAGCCTTGCGCGCTCCTGATCAAGAGAAAGCAGTGGAGCATCTTTTCCTCCATCTGTTGCCTCGCGATTACATGAAGATACCATTTCCCCATCAACCATAGCTCCATTCTTGTTCTCATCCTTGAAGCTGTTAATTTTCCCATTGCACTTGCATATGTCATGGTTCTGAACACCTTTTATATTTGCATCAACAGTTAATTGATCTTCCACTCTGGATGTGTCATTGTCCTTTACAACAGGCCGTTTCTCATAATGAGTATGAACTTGTATAGAATTAGGTCCGTTACTACTACTATTGTCAGTCACACAGTGTGTAGCAAAACCAGAGACCGATACTGAATGTGCATAAACTGAACCAACCCCCCTTCTTATGTATACTGAGAAGAAGCAAGACAATTAGACAATGAATCAAGATAACTTCTCACTTACATATAAAAGATTATAAATTGATTAATCTTAAAAGGCACAAAAATACAAAGCTTTTAGAAATGCCAAAAGAAGAATGTCCAAGTAAAGAGAAGAACTAAGTTCAATATTTTGCTAATAATGATTTTGACGGTAGAGAATGATAATTGAACAAATGACCCCACCCCTCCCTTAGATGCCATGCCAGCGCAATAAAAACTATGTTTCTACAGCTTTGGCAAATACTAATACATTTTAAAAATAAAATATTCAGTCACGAGAAACATTGGCTGGTGCACCACTAAAAACTAAAACTGCCATGTGTGAGAGTGCCGGTTGGAGTTTGAGGGCAGCACCCACTTCTTTAGCATCTACTGGGCATTGGACGGCAGCAGATCCATTCCATCCGAAGGGACGGTAAAGCAGCAGACATGCAAAGCAGAGGAAGAGATATTGATTGCAGAATGCCCTTCTTGTAAAATGCGGAAGGTTAAGTATTTATTGAGCTCACCCTGCCTAGTACCCCACACTGACAGGACTTTAAAATTCGGTCATACTTTATCATTTTACCAATTTTGTTAATGAACATGTATAACCTTGATAATTCTTGATAGCAACAAAAAATGATACATAAATAAAAATAACAAGAAAATGTTGAATTTTAAAGATAAAGATAACTAAAATCAAAAGCTCAAGAACCATGAAGATAATCCATTTGGTAATAGTAGCCATATATCTCTTGCACTTCTCATGTGAAAAAAGGTCAATTATCCATTCAAAGATCTACAGAGTTGATGAAAAAGATAATATTTTGTTAATGAACTAGAAAAACAAACAGATCAAACCAATTTATTTTATGAAAACAAACTGTAAATTTGTATTTATAAATTGACCAAGATGTGAAAAGCTGGAGAGATTATCCCTCCCTTTCCCCTATGAGATTTAACAATTGCATATATTATGTAGGTCTAATGCATTAGAAAAACTACAACATCAAGCAAAATCTTATAACAAGACAGCTAATTTGAACTTCAAACAAACATAAGAGAATATCTAGAAGCTATAATCATCATCTTATCTCAAATGGGACTAGTATATACCAACCTGCATAGCATTGTTTACCAGCAGAGGCAACAGAACCGTTCTCACAAGAAGGAGTGAGCTTCCTCTTCTCCATGTTTAATGCATCCCGTCCAACTCTTCTCTTGGAACCACTAGAAGATAATTCCATGACATTCGTCTCTTCAATTCTATGCATTTCTTCATCGTCACTGTCAGGCACCACTAATTTCTCATAGGCATCTACCGTCTCAGTTCTCCTGTTTTCAACACAATCTGGAACATCCATTACCTCAGTCTCAGCATCAGAATTCTTCATTTGGATTTCAGCTGAGGGACTCTCAAGCTCAACAGTATCATGGAATGGTACAGTATTTTGATGCTCATCAGCAATCCTGTCCTTGCGTCTATTGCCTGATTTTGAGCCAGATGAGAACTTACATAAGATTGTTCTTGTGATATCTGATTAAAGAAAAACGTATACCATAATTTTACAAGAGGATTAATATATATGACAGCAACCAGTTCAGTATCACGGAACCATTGCACTCCCAGTGGAAATTGAATTAAGCAATGGTCTTAATCTTTACAAAGCATTTGGAGAATATGTTGTGCTTGCTTAATTACTTAAATGAGCCTCAATGACTCCATCCCCACAAAGTTTTGTCAAGTGTTTTCACAGTGATAACACCTCTTAAAGGCATTATCCATGTGCTGATGTCATGTTCCGTGTAGCCTGGCTTATTATTCTCTCTCTTTCATGTTCAATAAAGATGATCATCATTTTCTTGTCAACACAACAACAAAAAAAATGGGGATTCCTGACTTGAAACAACACAATTTGGAGAAAATGTAGCCAAATCATTATAGGGTACATTTATATCTTAAAACAAGGGAAGTGAAAAGAAATATGCTTTAAAAGGTCTATTTCTTCTTTTCCTTTCCTTTCCTTTCTTGTCCTTCTTTCCGAGAACCAAACAGAAGGTCAAGAATTTGCCAATTTAATTGGTTCAGCTCGTTTCTTATTGTTTCCTGTGAATGTGTGACTGTGACATCGTGGTTCCATGGCATCAGCAACAAAAAGAAATATCAGATTTATTCAATTTCCATCATAATCCAAATATGTGTATATCCAATCCAATCCAATCCAATGAGGATAGTTTTTTTTAGCAATAAGACAGAGAGTATAAAGGATGAAAATTGATTATAGTTACCGATTGATAATAACGATGACGGTGATGAAAGGGACGGAGATTGAGAATCAAAGGCCTGCGTTTCAGTATCAGAATCAGCCATTGGATGCTTAGCTATACAGGATGTTTTTCATCATCATCGCCAACGAAGCCCACTCAGTCCACCTAATCCAAATAAAATCTCAGATAAGAGAAAAATCGATTCAAATAGAACATTTGATCCGCCAAAAGATTATTACTTAACAAATAATAAGAAAAAATTAAGACAATGTTAGTATGGAAAGATGACACGATCATCAGACAGACTGAAAACCTTACTGAGAGAAAGATTAACGGATTATGAAGAGAGTGGTGTGATTGAAGGCATCAGCGACAGTGTCGCACAGAGCCCCGAAGATCAAATATAAATATGTTAGGGTTTGACAAATTATGCATTCATATATCTATATGTGTGTGTATACTGTATATATCGACACAGACGTATGAGGATTTGGTTCAATTGGATGAACAGTGAGAAGTACATCAAATTTTTGGAGGGAAAATTGTGCTACTAAATTATGAATATAAAGAGGCGCTGAAGCAACAGTAATCGAACGGGCATTTGGTCTAGTGGTATGATTCTCGCTTAGGGTGCGAGAGGTCCCGAGTTCAATTCTCGGAATGCCCCTAAAGTTCCGACTTTTTTATTTAAATTTTGTTCTTTTATGCTGAAGTTACAATTTTCTCCTTTCACAAAATTTACTATTTCCTTCTTTAATTTGATTTAAAAATGAATTTCTAATTTTTTTTCCCGTAATTCAGAAATTAATTCAAATTTTATTTTTTATTCTTCTTCTCTCACTTGTCATTCACTTTTTAATAAATTTACTTTTCCGAAGAAAATAATGAATGTTGGAGTACAACAAAAACTCCACCTAGTTAATAATGGTTAGACTGCTTCTTTAAACCCAAAATGAATGACAAAAACACTACTCAAACTCAATTTAATAGATGCCAAACTCTCAGTGTTATCCAAACTCTCCGGCCAATGGTAATAGTAAACAGTGATATGAAAATTCTATGAAACTTATCGCCACCCATCTAATTGTTTAAAATTCTTAAAATTACACAGACAATTAAGTATCTCCTACCATTATTAGATTTATATTGAGACATTTAAAATATAAATTTATAGGACATATACATAAACACCTAATTTTTTTCTTTTCTTTTTTTTTCCCTCACAGTATAGTATCTACATATATATACGACAGCTTTCCATTTTTTGTATATATATATAATAATTATATATATATATATATAGTAATTATATACACACTCGCTATATAGCTAAAAGACAATTAAAAAAAGAAAGAAAAGAATCCATAAAAAAAAAAAAAAAAAAAACGAGAGAGATCGAGAAAGAAAATAATCATTATCCTATTGATATATATACGTGTTTATATATGTATACGAATCAACTTCGAAAAGAAAATAGTTAAAAGGGCATTTTTGTCCTATAAATTTATATTTTAAATGTCCATAATAGTAGGAGACTATAATTTTAAGAATCTTAACAAAATAAGAGCGGTAATTAGCACTCCTCAAAAACATTTAATTAACTAGCGTATAATTTTAAAAATCTTAACCAATTAAGAATGCGACTGCAATTAGCATTCTTCAAAATATTAATATACCAAGTCACTGATTGTACTCACCATCTAGTTTATGATACAAGCACTTGGGCGATCTTCTCTCTTCGCATGGCTCTTGATTCACCTAAACATAAGAGGTAATACCGATTATACCGTTCCTCGTCTGTTACACGATTCAGAATTATGCATCTATATCTATACATGAACAGTTAATAGGCTTAGATTTGTTCTCGTGGTTGTCTTTGTTTCAATCCATTTTTAAAATATCATGATTGTTTGTGTCATGTGATTAATTATGAGTACTCTGAAAGGTCGTATTGAAAAAATACAAAATAAAATAAAATAAAACAAAAGAATCGACAATATAATATAATATTTTAGTTAAACAAAACATGTTCATTAATTATTTTGATTTTCACAAGATTTATGATAAATATGATGGGCTATAATGGATAGAGAGAAATAGTTGATTGTCCCTGTAACACACAAACTAATCGTTAATATTTCCACCCATCCTCAAGTTTCTGTATCATTTTGTATCTCCTTTCTTGTACCAATTAAATCCTGACCATTGTTGAGATTTTTTTACAATATATTAATACATTCACCAAGTATTTATGACTTGGACCATCTAATAATTACTCTTCCTTTACCGGTCTTCTCACCTTTAGCGTTGCCACTAAGCTCATCAATTGATGGCAATTAAGGATTCTTCTTTGCACGACACGACCTCTCCTCCCATGTTGTCATCCTCTGGCAGCTCTCTGTCGTGCCCGTCTCCACATTGTGCTCATCTACGGGAAACTCATCTTCCTTAATCTCACAAGTGTGGGGCAAGGTCTTTTCCAACATACCTTCCCCCACTTGGCCTTGCTTACAAGGTGCTCGTGCACTCTTGCATGACAAACGCAAACTTTGGAGCCTCCTCATCCTCTTCCTCGTGCTCTGGCAGTTTGGCTTACACAGGTCACCTTTGCACTCTATTGCGCCCCTTATACAAAGCTTCTGCCTTAACATAGTCCTCGTTACTACTCTGCCACCAGCTTATCGACTTCGTGATTATGCCTTCATAAATATATTAATTAATTTCTTAATTTTTCATAAATATATTACACGAAAAGAAGGTATTTAAATAATTTATTGATTTTTCATCAATATTTTGTATGAAAAGAAGGTACTTCCTACGGTAAAAAAATTTTAAACGGACTATAATAAATTTTATTACTATAAATAATAAAATTTTAATAAGAAGTTAATCATTTTAGAAAATGGTAGTTACAAATTTTTTTATTCTTTCTCATTTTTATGATAAATTGATACTAATAATAAAAGTAAGATAAATAGTATAATTAAAAATTACATAAAAGAAAAGATAATAAAAATAATTTAATAAGAAATGACTTATTGAGAAAGAGTAAAATAGTATTTTTCAATGAATTTGTTTTTAATGGCAGCAAATCGAATGGTTCTTCTGCCCTTTTATTAGTTTCACCTGTTGTATTATAACTTGTTTATATCATTTGCATGCTAAATTGCTAATAAAAAGCTCTCTCAAGTAGTGATGGTGGTGAAGTTGCAACAATATCTCGGTCTGATCTTCCTCCCGAGCTTGTATCAGCAATTGCCGATCGCTTAGGCCTAATTGAGCTTCTCGGTTTCCGTGGCACCTGTAAGGAGTGGCACTCTGCTTCTTCCACAGCTTCAGCTCAGATTGAATCCTCACCAAACCATAATCCTTGGTTTCTACTCTATGGTGAGAATTCAGAATGTGTCTTGTACAACGAATCCGACAAAAAGAAGTACACAATCAGTATCCCGGAACTGGATGGAGCAACTTGCCTCGCATCAGATGAAGGATGGCTTCTTTTATTCAAAAAGGGCTCAATTTTCTTCTTCTGTCCCTTCTCGGGTGCAAAAATAGACCTCCCACAGTTCCCACATTCGGAGCTCTCCAACCATGTTGCAGCATTCTCATCTCCTCCAACGTCCCACGAGTGCATTGTTTCTGTAATTAACCGACGTGATAAGCTCAAATTGGAGCTAAATGTGGTACACCGGGGAGACAACACATGGACTAAGCATGAACAAAATGATCCCTTGGACTACTCAGACAATGTTACATGTGCCACTTATCATGAGGGACACTTCTACTATTTGGACAACAAAGATGGGCTATTGACCTTTTCTGTTAGCGATAAAACATGGATGCTTTATCGGATTATAGAAGACGATAGCGATTCTAATGCTGACCGTCTACACTTCGGATTCCGGAGAAGCTATTTCGGCAAAACTGATGTTAAGAAAGGTCTGGAATTGGAGGATAATGTCTCCATTTCTACTTGTGGCACACGCAGTAGTAACCGCTTGTTTATTAACAATGAAAGCGTCAAGGCTTCAAAAGAACCCGAAAGCCGCCACCTTAAAGGGATATGGATACAACCTCGCTTCCATCAAATCCCTCCAAACCAGAGCTGGTTACTTTGAGGAGGAGGGTTTTGCTTCTTTCTCCTTTTTTTTTTTTTTTTTTTTTTTTTTTGAATAATGGGTATATTTCTTTGTTTTCACCATCATATTCTATTCATTTACATTTTATTCTTTTGTTACTGAGTAGAGACTAGATCGAGACTCAATATTTTTTTTAATTACATTAATTTAAGTAGCAAATTGTAGTGTTTTCAGGTCATCATCAAGTTAATGCATACACAGTATATGTTATTGATCGAGTAGAGACTAGCTAGAGACTTGATAATTCCTAGTGCTGCTGAAGTTACATTAATTGAGACATTTTTTAAATACCAAATGGCAGTGTTTTCAGGTCATTTATCATTAAGTTATTCCATACTCTTATTATACACATTTAGTAAAACTATGCTTAACTTTTTTATTTTTATACTATTTCTTTGGGCCTGAGCTAAATGTGTTTGTTGGAGGGGTATTCCTATTGAAGGTTTTGTCATTAAGTCTGCAATTTAGTGATGAGCACATGATGATGCTCATATTTTTTGCCTTATTTCTGCTAACTGCCTAAGAAAATAATACATTTATTAATTTTTTATTAGTTTTGTTGGTCTTGTTTTACTGTGTGCCCATCAAGGACAGACCAGGAAATTATATGGATGTTACACATGTTTAATATTAATTAATTTATTTTCTTAATTTTAAATTCAATCCGCTATTCGAGATCCCTAAACATATCTTTGAAATGAATCGTATTTAACTTATATCCCATTCTGTTGCCCCTTTTATGAAACAAAAGATAAATCACACTACATGATAAAATTTAATAAGATAATGATATCATGTCATTACTACAACTGACTTAATTAAATTTCTTTTCCAATTTATTCGAAGTGTACGATGATATCTCAACCCAAGTAGTGGGCCGCGTCCGCATATGGGGAAGCATTGGCCCAGCACTTCAAACTTAAGTGAATCATAACTCCTCAATTATTTTGGCCCACCACAAGTCTGGGTCGCTTACTTTTGCTCATTGGGAGGCAACCAAATCACCTCATTTATTATTAGCTAGTTTTGTCTTTTTCTCATTCGTTTTTTTTTTTTTTTTTTTAATTTATTGGTTGATCGAGAGGAAATTGAAAATCTCCAATCTGACACTTATAATTTAACGTTGGAGATAAAAAAATTCCCCACCTATATAAAATTGAATTCTCTATCTACCAGATCTACAGTGGGGAATAGTATTGTATTAATGCCAACTAAGATCCTCGATAAATGTGAATAAAATTATGGAGGTTGTGACTTGGACCACTCATCCTTCCTTCCGGATTGCGTGTATCCATACCGCCTGACAGGAAATTTAATATAATAAAATAAAATATTATTAAACTTTCAACCATGTGATACGTTTTGGCAATCTCTATAAAGTATACTGTATTACTACTAACTACTAGTATATTTTTTTAATAGAGTACTCCGACTTTTTAATATAATACATTACTACTTCCATTATTCAGTGGACACAAAAAAATAATAAAAAAAATTGTTTGTCATCACTACTACCATGTATCTCGGTTTTTTCTTTCTCACTAAACTGGGGACACCATGATTTTTATTTTTTTATTTTTTCACAAGATCAAAAAGAAAACAAGGTCATGATGTCTACTTTCTCTCATCCAAAAACTGGACCACCGTGGATTCATGATTCATGTCTACCTTTTCTCATTCACCCCTCTTTTTTGCTTTTCACTCAAAGTGGACCAACATGATTCATCATGTATTCATGTCTGAGTTTTCTGCTCCACAAATTTTTTTTAACTAAAACTGGACCACTATGATAAATTATTACATGAATTAGAAAATTGTGTAAAAAAAATTTTAGGGGTCTGATGATTGGTCAAGATGTCTCGAAACCTTATTATAATTTCACGCCAGTACATGTATGGGAATTGTCAAGAAAAAAAAAAAAAAAAAAAAAAAAAAAATTTGTACGACAAACCATTTTCTTATAAATGTCCTCTAATTAATTAGTAATTAAAATTAATTAATTTTTATAATTTAATTAATATAAATTCATTTTATGATTTTAAGGATAAAAATGTGATTGGTAGCAATCGCGTTATATATATATATATATATGAAGAATGATCATATTATGAATCATAGCACTATAAGCAATAAAATGTTAGAGGAGATGGTTAGCATATTAGTTGTACCACTTATAAAAACACACATTATAGAGACTCAGAATTATATGAAATGGAAAGTCCGTGTTGATACATTAGCATCATTTGGTACATATATCGGTACAATGTAATGGGAGGATTCTAATTCAATTCCCCAGTCACATTTTTAGGTGGAATATTTATGAATATCCTTGTAAAATATGAGTCGGACCCAATAAGTCACACGAATGCATGAACCGATGTGAATACAAATCGTGAAAAAATAAAATTATTTGGCCAATTGCTAATTGCAATTAAAATGCAAGCAAAAAAAAAATCGAAATAAAATTATCACATGTGCATGAAAATACAACGTAGATCATGAAATAGTTTCTTCTCATTGTAGTTTTATTTTTTTATTTTATTTGTACATAAAACACTCTTTAAGACTTGGACCAGGATCACCTCCAGTTACATAGTGCAACCATTTGCTCCATTTGAAATAAGTGACTGAGAATGTGCCACATCAATTAAAAAAATTGAGTAACTAATTTTTTACCACCATTTAAATATTGTATTTCAAATATATATAAACTTTAAATATTATTTCTAAAATATGTTTTCTCTCTCTAAAAGATAGAATTGTCTTCTTTTTTCTCTCTAAAAGGAATCAAGGAAATAGTACCAATGGCAGTTTGAGGCAAAAAAGAAGAAGTGAAGAACAGCGGTGAGGCGAAGAAGAAGGAGTGAAGAAGGAAGGTCTGAGGCGAAGAAGAAGGATAGAAGGAAGGTCTGAAGGTTAGGGTTTGGATTTCGAATAAACAAAGATGAAGAAGAAGGGAAGGGAAAACGAAGAAGAAGGGAAGAAGGTCTGAAGCTAGGTTGGAAAAGTTGGGATAAGTTGGGATGCACCTTAGGAAAATGTTGGGATTCACCGTAGGAAAATGTTGGGATACACCAGAACGGCGGTGAGGCGAAGAAGAAGAAGTGAAAAACGGTGGTCTGAGGCGACGAAAAAGAAGGAAATAGTACCATTTTAAATAGTACACCACCTTAGGAAAATGTTGGAATGCACTTTACAAATAAGTTGGGATGTTTGTACGAAAATGTTGAGATGTACTCTAGGAATGTGACGGCCCTGGTTTTTCAAGCCAGTGCGTTCTGTGATGAACCAAAAATTGACCCGAAAACGGATCCAGATGCGAAAACAAGAAACAAGACAACGGTCTCCCAAGGCATAACACACCTCTAAGACACTTTGATGACCTTCCATGAAGTCATGGAACTCAATGAGAACTGACGCGGGAGCAAAAGATCGAAAATATGACAAATAAGCCCCCAGGGGCAAAATAGTTATTTCACATAGAAATGACGTCCCTAGAATGTATATCATTCTCGAAACACATCCGTGACTTCCCGTGAAGTCACGGAACTCAAAAGAAAGTAGTGAAAGCGAATTACAAGAAAATCGGACAAAAATAGCCCCAAGGGCAAAATGGTCATTTCTAAAAATATAAAATTGGGTGCTACCGAGCATACCACTGGGAAGACAGTGAAAATTTAATCAAGTTAGACTTGAGAATCACTTGATTCGGAGTCCGGATGGAAGAGAAAAGTCAAAACAAAGTTTTGATGTCGCCGCAATCGTGAATAGTGTTTTGACAGCAATGAATAGTAACCTGGGCAAAATGCTGAAATTCGTGTACCGTTTTGAGGCACTAAACGACGTTTTCTGGAAAAATATGAAGAAAAAACCCCCCTCCAAATAATTTTCCCAAGCTGACCATGTCAAGAGAAAATTTTATTTTTGACGTAAAATTCCAAAATACCCTTACAACAGACTTTTTTAAATAGTGCAAGTGCGCACAGGAAATCAGATTTGACACGGGGCTTTCGGGTCCGAGACGACATTTTCTGAAAAAATATTGTGAAGAAACCCCTCCCCCCTAAAATCACGTTTTCTATGTGACCATCTTAAGATCTGAATTTATTTTTCAAAGGAAATTCCCTTAAATCAGTTTAGACCAAGAGGGTTAAAAAATGCTACAATGACTGTCTGCAACTGAGAGCAAAAACGGGCTAGTAGATGAATTTTTCTGGAAAAACACGGAAAAGAAACCCCTCCCGAAATCAAATTTTCTACCCGATAGGGCAACGGAAACAAAGAAAATGGACCATAAAATGCCCTGAATGCCCCTCCATGAAATCTGGTCATGAGGGTCATAAAGCTGCTAAATGTAAAACTGAAAGCTGAACTTTGAAAGAGATTTTCGGTACGAAGACGACATTTTCTGGAAAAATATGAAAAAGAAACCCCTTCCTAAAATCACGTTTTCTAAGTGACCATGTGGAGACTGGAATTTATTTTCCAAAGGAAAACTCCAAAATGCCCTAAAATCAGATTATGCAATAAAAATGTAAAATGAGTCCATATGAGGCTCAAATCACCAATGATGAGGTTTTTCTTGAAAATGATCATGCACGCTAACGTAACTTACCTATTAGGACGTGCTACAATGGTCCATGACTTAAAAATACCACCGATACAAAATTTGACCCCCCAACGGCCAAAAGGGCGAAAATGCACATGAAATGTAAAATCTGAAATTTAAAATTGACAAATGATTTCGAATTACCGTTTGGCCCTTGGTCATACTTCATGCATGATTAATGAGACCTAGTGGAGGTACCGGAACACACTTTGCACCACCCGATTTGAAAATAAACCCTTAAAGGCTCAGTTTCTACTATTTTGGCCCAAAAATGCAATATGTGAATTAAAATGCAAAAATGAAAACTAAATGGTATTTGGCCCTTGGCCACACCTCACATATGGCAAATGAATGTTAAAAGATGAATTTC